TTTAAGCCCCTAGGAACCTTATCTACACCCTTCTGCTGACAAGCTCCAGGCAAGTGTTTCCCCACTTTCTAAAACAGTTGTGCTCAGTTTGGATGTTTTTGCATGCCCTTCCGAAATCAAACTGTACTGTCTTCTCCCATGAACTTATCTCTGCTGGCTACAGTATATGTGGTATTTGTTTGTGCTGGCAAAACGTATAAGTCTGTTATCAAACCGACAGACTCGTATTACATTGTGTTTTATCAGTTGTTTTAGGTTTATTTTAAGGAAATACCCATCAGTGTCAACATACAGTAAGCCTTAAAAAGCACAAGTGAAACAAATATTTGTCATTTGTAACACAGTGACTGTTTATTTTCTGTGACCTTAGAACAATAACTAACCCCATGTGCATGTGTTGTTTGTGGTTAGGTTCCAGTCATATTTATCTTTGTCGTTCCCATTTTGAATGTACATGGGAATGAGATGATTTGATGTGAACTGTGAAATCACATCAGACTTTGGCTCTCCAAACCCTCTGCCACGACAACCCTCTAATATCTCAACCATTATCCTTTATTGTCCCTAATCAATAAGCACATGGTGGGTCAGTGATGTGGGAATGCTTTGACCTTCCTATCTCCATCTTGATCCTCACTTGGACATCTTGGGGAATGAAATGAAGCTACTATTGTCTCTCTGCTGCATAACATGAGCGCGCTTCAGTAACATTGGAGGCTCACCTGGGACTAATACACTGCACTGCATGTTTCTGCTTGATTCATGATCCACTGTTCCCCCACATAGACTTCTAACATTACAGCAACTCAATACTCCGCTGTGGATACGTCTGAGTGTAAATTCGATATTTACTGGCCCTCATTGTTCCCCCACTCAGTTTGCCCAGGAGCTATTTTTCTTTCCCTTTTTTTTTTCTCTGTAAAGCTTTGCTGAAAACAGATGCTGCTAAGATTAAACATCTATAGTCTATAGATACACACTCACCCAGGTTGTATATGTGTTGATGTGTGGCGTTATCCTGGCTATAACTCTGTACCTGGGTCCCTGTGCCAGAATACACCAGTCCACTACAGCCCACTGCCCTCTCACAACATGCTGCCTCTGTGTCCAATTAGGGTCCCTGTGAGCACAGGCCAGAGGAATGTGGCGCGAGGGGATGAAGGGAGGGCGGGGGGAGAGGGGAGGCTGGGGGCCAAGTAGCAGCTTGATAGAGGAGAGGGAGGCTGGGGGCCAGTAGCAGCTCTGATAGAGGAGAGGGGAGGCTGGGGGCCAAGTAGCAGCTCTGATAGAGGAGAGGGGAGGCTGGGGCCAAGTAGTAGCTCTGATAGAGGAGAGGGGAGGCTGGGGGCCAAGTAGCAGCTCTGATAGAGGAGAGGGGAGGCTGGGTGCCAAGTAGCAGATCTGATAGAGGAGAGGGGAGGCTGGGTGCCAAGTAGTAGATCTGATAGAGGAGAGGGGAGGCTGGGGGCCAAGTAGCAGCTCTGATAGAGGAGAGGGTAGGCTGGGGGCCAAGTAGCAGTACTGATAGAGGAGAGGGGAGGCTGGGGGCCAAGTAGCAGATCTGATAGAGGAGTGGGCCCCAGACACCCGCTAGCCAGGAGCTTGGGGCTTTTTCAGTGGGGCAGAGCAGTGGAAGTATTGCATTGATCTGATACAATGTGTGTGCATTAGGGAGGTAGGGAGGTAGTGTGCAGTGTAGTAGGTAAAGGAGGAGAGAGGGAGTGAACATGTACACAGGACCCTTCCCTAGCCTCCATCCATCAGGAGAGAGAGGTTTGACTGGAGCAGCTCTCAGATTCTGATCCAGACAGTGGGAGGAGGAACTCATACCTCCATGTTATGTGATCTGTACAATTTAGATCTGATTTCCACTCTGAGTTGTGCTCCTGAAAGGAAAATAGTCCTCACGTTGTGTTCTACCCCGCCAGGCACCCCCGACTCCAGCTTCATTCCACTGGAAATGAGTTATGTGTTGAGTCATTGGGGCTAATTAAACACAAGCTACCCCAGTGATGCTCCCTTCTCTTACATTGACATGTTTAACTATTCAGACAACATTTTGTCAAGAATGTGTCTTGTCTGGAACCAGGGGTTTAGTGTATGTATTCTCTGTAGTGCTTTTCTCAAAAACTCTAGAAACCTGAGTTATATGATGTGCTTCAGGGTTGCCTAGGACACTGCTACACAGCAGAGGCTGCAGTAATGTTTAAGTGGGCCAGACCCCAGTCCTCCTGGCAGCAGCCCTACCTCTCTCTGCACCACTCTCTCACTCACCCGTATGTAGGCTGAGCCTGTCCCACATATCTGTGGTGGGGCTGGGCAGCGCTACCTAACAACCTCTAAAATCACAGAAAACTCTGTCCCACTGGGTCAACAAAAACCCAGGCCCCAGTGTCCCATCCCCGAAGAGAAACCAGGGCGGTACAGGCAGGCTGGTTGCAGTGCTATTTCTGTTGTGCCCACACAGGCAGCGCCCTGGTTAGAGCGGGTAAAGTGGGCGAGGTGCGGGATGGTGGAATGTCCCCACTGCTCGAGGATCTGGGAAGTAGCCACCGCCCCTGTCACAGCAGTGCCTCCCGGAAGTGAGGGGTGCATCATCACAACCACAGGAATGTGTGGGGGAAGGTTTGCTCTCCCCCCCAAAATGGCTCACTTTAGTTACTGCAGGCAGTGCTGCTTCTTACCCTCTATCCTCTCTGTTTGTGGGGAGGAAGTAGACTAGTGGCCTCTCAAACCCTGTGAGACAGTTGACTGTGCCCTGTGGTTGGCTATGCCCTGTGGTTGGCTATGACCCAGATGTTAATATGAGCATAACTCTACCGCCACATCTGATTTAAGAGCATTATTATCAGGCCCTTTGAGGAGGATTCTAGTGCATAATCATTTTGTGTTCAGCCAAACAAAAACAAAAATTCTCCCCAAAGACTGGTATTGATATTGAGGAATGTATTATTAAAGAGAGCCTCAGTCCAGATTGCACTGAATATTCTGTTTTGCTGATGAGCTGAACCATATGGTTTACATTTAGTGTTTCTCAACATTTTATGAAATAATTGGGTACAATGTCCTCTTACTGACATCATCTTACTTTTAATGGGTTATTCATTCGGTAAAAATATAGCAGATGCCTACTGCATAACAGAGGTTCCATTCTCACGCTCTTTTTACTTCCCATGTCCACCCTATGGTGAAAGCAATGGCACTTGTCCATACTAACTTTCATTAGTGGTTAGTGGCTGGTTTAGGTGGTGGTGGTGGTATTAACTGGCTCTGCATCACTCAGTTTCTCCCTCACTTTACAGGGTGAGCTGGAACGGCAGCTTCTGCAAGCCAACCCCATCCTGGAATCCTTCGGCAATGCCAAGACGGTGAAAAACGACAACTCGTCACGTTTCGTACGTTTAAACAGCTAGGATTAAAATAGTATTGAATGTGATAACTATACTGTATGTTTTATGTACACATTTGTAAACTGTCTATACACAGACCATCTGTGTAAATAGGCATTGTAGGACCTCCCTCTCCAGAATACAGTGATATGGTGTGTGAAGGAGAACACTATATCTGCTAAAGAGCACGACATGGCTTGAATAGAAATGGGCCATGTGCTTTCCATCTTCCATAATCCTGGCAGGCACACACACACACACCAAGTCTCACCCCAACTTCTGACCAGACCTGACATTATACCTCACTGATGTCTGCAGAAGTGATACTGTTGACTCAGTGGGGACTGTGTTTTGGGCTCACAGAGGCCTACAGTATCACACAATGTTTATAACTGCTACCTTACACATGTTGTATCCCTCCCTACAGGGCAAGTTCATCAGAGTCAACTTTGACGTGACTGGATACATCGTTGGGGCCAACATCGAGACCTGTATCCTCAGAGATGGGAGACTGGGAAGTGAAGGGGGAGGGGATGCAGGAGTCTGCAGATGTACATACATAGTCGTGGTTTGGCTCAAGGGGCTCCGGGATTTGTGCCGCACTGCGAGATTGCACTTCAATGCTCACCAGATAGTGGATAGACTTAGGTTCTTAGAGTTAGATATATTCATACTCAGCCTTTGTTTATTCATGTTTAGGTTGACTTTGGAGAATACTGGCTTTCATTTTCTAAGATAGAATTATATCTGGTTGTTATGCATGTGAGAAAAGTTAAATTTGTGTCCCTCAAGAATAGCGTATTGTGCAAGATTTGGCGTTGCAGCAAGTATGATTTATAAAGCAGTGTAATGTGTACTTTACAGGCATTCCTCTTCCCGAGATGGTGGTAGTCAAGGTTTCTGTTAACACTGACTAAACAGCAACCCACTCAGTGGGCATTTCACTCTCCTGTAAAACTAAGGTCCAGTGACGTGCACAGTTGAGCTCTTGTCTGAAGCCCAAAATGGTCACTCTTTAGACAAAACACCCTGTACTCAGACACAAGGGATCAGAAACACATGACTTTACCATTTTAGGGCCAGCGAATTATGCCCAGTATATCTAGATTGGGACCATATTTAACATATTAAAGTCTATTGAGATTGGCATTAACAGAAATAAATACTTATTATTTTACAGTAGATCATACAAGTATAGCACGAAGCAGCAATTCATACCAATCCGTTGTTTGTTTGAGAAGATTCTGCTAGGCATGGCACAATAACCAGTAAGCCATTTACTAGCACAGGAATGATGGCATTGCTCCATTGGCCCTTGACTCCCTGACTACCAGACCTGCTGGAGAAGTCCAGGGCCGTTCGCCAGGCCAAAGACGAGAGGACCTTCCATGTCTTCTACCAGCTGCTGGCAGGAGCCGGGGAGCACCTCAAAAGTCACTATCTTATAAACCATTCCAATTATAATGATTGTCAGTAGTGTCTTCTGCAAGAAGAATCAAAACTATGTCTATTATTTTACGTTTTTCCGTTTTTTCTGTGCCAGAAATGGCTCGTTCAATATTTTATATACCATTCCATATTGATTGTTTTTCATTATTTCTCCTCATGTTATAAACCTTGGCTGTTCTGTTATAGTACTGGTTTATTGATGAGTCTCCCCGTACCCCTCTCCTCTCAGCTGACCTGCTCCTGGAGGGCTTCAACAACTACCGCTTCCTGTCCAACGGCAACATTACCATCCCTGGCCAGCAGGACAAGGACAACTTCCAGGAGACCATGGAGGCCATGCACATCATGAGCTTCTCCCATGAGGAGATCGTATGTGAGTACATACACGCTAGGCCATACATGTAGTATCAATGTCTTTCCTTGCCTCTTGTCTGATTCACTCTCCCTTGTGGCTGCAGGCATGCTGAAGGTGGTGTCTGCAGTACTACAGTTTGGTAACGTTGTCTTCAAGAAGGAGAGGAACACAGACCAGGCCTCCATGCCTGAGAACACAGGTAATCATATACCCTCAGAGGCCATACACAATCCAACCAACACTCCAACACTTTGAAATCAGACAGCCTAAGTTTGACAATTTCTCACCACACAGCTAAAAAGACATTGTCCCAGTTTACATTTGTACATTTTTAGTCATTTAGCAGACGCTCTTATCCAGAGTGCATACATTTTTTTTGGTTTGTTTACAGTGAGCTTACTCTCTGGGTTGCAAGTCTTCAACATTGATCATCCTCCCACAATATGCTGCTAAGCCTCAAAAACAGTCCACTCACTTGGTCCACATAACTTACTGCAGAGCTTCACAGAAATTCTGCTGAAATCAGTATTGGGCCTTAGTGTGAGTCAGCTGGAATCACAACACTAGCAGAGTAGAGTCATCCTTCACCGTTGTGGCTGAGACAAGGATAGCAAAGTGTCAGCAGCTCCAGATGTCTGTCCTTAGTACAGTATGAAGTCTGGCAGCTCAGAGACACTTCACTGAACAGAGGTCAGATTCTTCAGAACTCCTGCAGTGACAGTGTATGGGCTGGAGCTCTTTGTCCTGTTTATGTTAATATAAAGACATGCAGGCACACTGTAGAGGTCCATATCAGGTATGTTATACCCTGGGGCTCATGCTGCCTGTCTGTATTTTACTTCCATATGTGCACACATATACCTCCGAGATTACAGGGCTAGCAGAAGTTGATGGCTAGTAGGAATAAATGTGTAGTTTATCATTTCTTTCTGGCACGTTGCTCTGCATTAATGGTCAGTCTATAATGGTAAGCCATGCAGTTTGGTTGTCATTAGGAAAATGGATGTGTCTCTGCTTTAATAGAGATTTACATCAGACTGTGGCCATATCCTTGGGTAGCTGGGGTGAAATGAAGCGCTAGTGCTTTACTCAGGTCTTTCATTACATATTCCTCTGACATTTGCCCAACTGTTTTAAATTGAGACTGAAGGCTCTGATTGTGCCCATCTCCAGGTCGCAACACTAACAGGTCACTAGTAACCCGATGTCCTGTCTCTCCTCCCAGCGGCTCAGAAGCTGTGCCACCTGCTGGGGCTGAATGTGATGGAGTTTACCAGGGCCATTCTGTCCCCCCGCATCAAAGTGGGCCGAGACTACGTCCAGAAGGCCCAGACCAAAGAACAGGTAGAAGCTGCTCTCCAGTTCTCATCAGTTGTACACTCCTAACTGTTTCTGCATTCACTAACACCAATCTATGCAGGTCCATGAAGTTGGCCTAAGCAGAAACAGACTGGCACCCAGCCTGACTGTCTATCTCTCTCGGGTTCTCTCCTCAGGCTGACTTTGCAGTGGAAGCCCTGGCCAAGGCCACATATGAACGTCTGTTCCGCTGGCTCGTCCACCGCATCAACAAGTCCCTGGACAGGACCAAGAGACAGGGAGCCTCCTTCATCGGCATCCTGGACATCGCTGGCTTTGAGATCTTTGAGGTAAACTTTTTTTCAAGATCCTTAATCTCTTGTTGCAGACATATAATCATGTCCAAGAGGGACTGTCTTATCTTATTGCTCTGTAATACTCATCTCTCACATCTCTTTCTCTCCCCATATCCCCCCTCTAGCTGAACTCGTTTGAGCAGATGTGTATCAACTACACCAACGAGAAACTGCAGCAGCTGTTCAACCACACCATGTTCGTCCTCGAGCAAGAGGAGTACCAGAGGGAGGGCATCGAGTGGAGCTTCATCGACTTTGGCCTGGACCTGCAGCCCTGCATCGACCTCATTGAGAGACCGGTCAGTTTTTCATCTTAACACATATAGGTGTATTTTGCTCAAGATGATGTCTGAGGAACTTCATCAAATTCTTCTTCTTTCTCTCTTTTCTGTCTGCAGACCAACCCTCCAGGAGTTCTGGCCCTGTTGGATGAGGAGTGCTGGTTCCCCAAGGCCACTGATAAGACATTTGTAGACAAGGTGCTCCAGGAGCAGGGCACCCACCCCAAGTTCCAGAAGCCCCGGCAGCTGAAGGACAAAGCCGATTTCTGCATCATTCACTACGCTGGCAGGGTACGTACACACAGAGCCTGGGTCTCAATACACTGAAATGACTTCCTCTCCTCAGGTCGTCCTCTCATATAGAATCATTGATTGGTGAAAACAAGGTAGTTCCGCCATATGAGCTCCCTGTTTCTGGTGAGGGCCTCATTTATTCGAAGAAACTGATTTGCCTTTGACCTTTCGGTTGCTTTGCCTGGTTAGGGGTTGGAGTGTTGGAAAGATGAAGCAGTGTTTTTGAAATGAGAATTATTGTTCAGCTCCATAATGTCTTGAGGAACATGTTTTCCACGTTTTCTTTCTGAACGACGCTGTAACCAGTCAGTGTTTAAGTTCTGCCTTTGAGGCAGCAGACATGCCTCTGCTAAAGCTCTAGTTAACAGGTAATTGCACAAAAGCCCAGTTGAGCTCCCAATCTCCACATCTGGTTCACATTGGTGTGAGACCGATTTTACACCGTTACGTAATCAAGGATTTTTAAACTTTCACCTCAGTGTGGTCTCCCATCTGGAGAGGGCCTGTGTACATTCCAGGCCAGACTCTCCACATGAAATAAAGTTGATATCATCTGCATCCATTTTCTTATTAGATTTGCCTCACAAAGTTCAGATTTACATTTTGTTCTGGTCTCAGCACCAGTAGTCCTCACACATATTAAGAATTAATAAATAGGTTTTGTTTACAGCTCATAACCTCATTTTCTCTTGACCAGGTAGCTATTTAATTTGATCAGACATGAAAGTCAGTGAGACAAGATAAAAGGAAGCTATTTAACACTATGTACCGGTACATATAGCCTGTTTAGCTTAAGTCTTTCTGTCTCTCCTCAGGTGGACTACAAGGCTGACGAGTGGCTGATGAAGAACATGGATCCTCTGAACGACAACGTGGCCACACTGCTCAACCAGTCCACTGACAAGTTTGTGGCTGAGCTCTGGAAGGACGGTGAGTCCCCCATACTCTCTTCCCGTTTGGACCATGTAGTAGTCACTTTGTTTGAGTTTTGGTTGTTCAGTGACAGTATTGAAGAATCCTCTTAAAACCTGGAACTGAGGACAGTGGCTATGGTGGGAGTATTTGTATGTGCTCTCATCCATTAGACTTCTTGTCTGGTTCATATTCAACTGCTTGCTTCTCTGTGATGACTATCACCAGCCAAAACATTGTGTGTTTGTGAGGTAACCTGAAATATCAGCTCGTAAATCTCCCCCCTCCTTTAATTTTCCCATTTGGCTCATCTACTTGTTTTAAAAAGGGATTGAGTTTCATTATTTGACATCTACAATGTATACAGACACAACTAATGGAAAGGAAATTACTGAATTGCTTTGTTTATGTGCATGGCATATTCCACTACACCAGTAACAGCAATATGTCTCTGTCCTTTACAATGTACACAACTAATCATTGTGAGTGTGTATGTGGTAATATAATAATATTTATGTTTACGAATGAATCTGTCCCTGCATGGATGTTTATGTGAGGCTGAGTTGTCCCTCACACCCTCCTCTCTCTCTGTTTCTGGGCTGTAGACATTCAGACCTTTCAGAGAGCCTCTTTCTATGACAAAGCCTCTGGTCTCCTTGAGCCTCCAGGTGAATGCACACGTTGATGCTGCTGCACTGTAGGGTTCTTCCTGCTCGCTCACGGCTGCACTCTGCACCCTTAGATGCACCCACCGCCTCTAAGCTTTGCATGAAGCGTAATGCACTGTTGCTAACCAAGATAGTACCTTTCGGCGATGTTGGTTTGTCTGGTGCCATTCTGTCTCAGTCAAATCTCAGCTCAGATTGTTTATTTGAGATACCTGAACAAGGAACCACCATGATTGTTATAATTTCATTGGAAGAGCCACCGTAGGTAGGACCATGCTTTATCTATGGAAGAATACTAGCATGGAGACATCTGCGGCCAAGCCGGTGTGAAGTAAATGTATGAGAAAAAGCCTGGACATTGTTAGGGCCATGGCTGTTTAATGACTTCAACACTCACCTGTAGTCCCCTGTAGCTCAGTTGGTAGAGCATGGCGCTTGCAACGCCAGGGTTGTGGGTTCGTTTCCCACGGGGGGGCAGTATGAAAATGTATGCACTCACTAACTGTAAGTCGCTCTGGATAAGAGCGTCTGCTAAATGACTAAAATGTAAAAAAAATGTAAAGTGACGTTAGTATGGCATGGAGCTGACAGGAGAGTGATAGATAGAGACTGACTTCCTCCACCACCTCTTTCTCAGGATATTTTAGCTACAGATCACACTGACTTTGCTGGAATTCATAATCCCTTTGGCATGGGCTAAGCCTGCTTTTTGAGGGTAAATTTTCTAGCAACCTGCATGCCAGATCACTGATCTGATTTCCATAATCTTATTTTATTTAAAAAGATAGATAAACAAACGTGAAATGAAGCTTCGCTAAAACATCACCCTGTAGATATCGGAGAAGTTGATGTGGAATCACAATGATTGAAGGAGAAAATATTAATTAGTCAGCTTCACTTAACCTTCGCCCACACTCCTTAAACTTCTGTCACCTTTGGTTATTGAAGTAAATCAGAGCAGTCACTAAGAGAGTTAAGGGGAGAATATGATTCAAAGAGTAGTAATGATTCAGCACTGTTCCAATCAGTTGTCAGTCTTGACCATTAACCTATGGTTAGAAGCCTGGTTCTGGTTCTCCAAACTGATCATGGCCCTTTTCATCCGATGACTTTACCCTTCGCACCATCTATGAAGAATGTGTATGCCTATGTCCAGATCCTTTTATATTAAGGCTAATGAAGCTTACCATGCCAATGAAGCTTACCATGCCAATGAAGCTTACCATGCCAATGAAGCTTACCATGCCACATTTAAGGACAGCTGACTGCACTGTCAAACCATGGTTTCCTAATAAGCCTCTAAAATCACATCACAGAGGCATGATGTGTCCCTGCCAAGGGAAATACTGACTAACCCCAACAGAGGATTTCTGAAAGATATTTCAGTACAGTAGATAGATGCAGTACTATAGCTCTGATTTATAGTCCAATGAAGCACTGTCTGTATGTGTTCACCCTCGTTCACCAAACAGGTCCATTTCAGCTCAGCTGTGCACCTCATGGCAGGAGAGATGGCAATTACATGTGTTCATAATTGAAATAATTAGAATTGGTTGATGAAAGAGATCACTTTTGGGTTTTGTTGTGCTCTTTGTGACATATCCTTCTCTCTGAATACGGAAAGTCATTTATCCCCCAATGTGTTTGCTCTAGAGTATGATAATTCACCCTGATCCTTTGGTAGCAGTATTTCTCCTTTTATGTTCTTGTTAAATCAAATGTTTTAGATTGTGTCATTTAAGAATATTGAGACACCCAGTTGGTGTTCCATTTCCATCTAGTTCTTGTTTAGAAAATGATATTGCTTCTTAACTATATTAGGAACACTCTGAGGAATGCCTTTTTAGCCTGGAGGTTGTTTTGTCTGTCCTAAATGGAGACAGCCAACTGGTTTCTAAAGGAAGGTGAGTTGCCACACACCACATTGAATAGTAACGTCTCTTCCCTTCAGTTCCCCTTGATCTCTGCAAAGAAAATTGACTCGGATATTGATGCTATCTGAATATGCAAAGATGATGGTGTTGTTGATCTTTTTTCTCTGTATTCCTTGGCAAGAACAACCACTGAATGGAGAAAGTTTTAGCTAGTCTAATTGCGTTAAGTTAAAACCAATTGACTGCAGTTTATGTAACGCTGGTGTTGGAAAGGTCAAATAAAATGGCTGTGCTGTTCTTGGAAAAACAGCAGAATGATGAACATGTTTCGAGTTAAGTTGGATTAGGTTTTGCAATAGCTTGGTTCAGTCTGGTTTCCTTTCTCTGCTTTTAATGAACATGTAGTGATGCTAGGGCCAACCGCCCATCCCACCCACTCTGGCTGTCAGTCATGTTGTTTACATGTTGTTACGCTTAGAAGCCCTCATCTGTCCTGGCCATGCCTCTAGTCCTTTGCTGCTTGATTATACAGTATATATGTTTAGTTCACGCACCAGTCACCCCTCTACCAGCATCTACCCATCTAACCCTGCCCTTCTCTCCTCTCCCTCTTTCTTCTGTCAGTGGACCGTATCGTGGGTCTGGACCAGGTAGCAGGGATGAACGAGACGGCCTTCGGTGCAGCCTATAAGACCAAGAAGGGCATGTTCCGTACGGTGGGCCAGCTCTACAAGGAGTCTCTCACCAAGCTCATGGCCACGCTGAGGAACACCAACCCCAACTTTGTCCGCTGCATCATCCCCAACCACGAGAAGAGGGTGAGCACTGAGCAGCACACTATCTTCCCCCTTTCACTGACCACCAGTCCTTCCCCCCTCTGCCCACTGTAGCCCAGACTACAGCCCCCACACCACCCACCAGAACCACTGCCTACAGCCCCCACACCACCCACCAGAACCACTATAGCCCAGACTACAGCCCCCACACCACCCACCAGAACCACTGTAGCCCAGACTACAGCCCCCACACCACCCACCAGAACCACTATAGCCCAGACTACAGCCCCCACACCACCCACCAGAACCACTGTAGCCCAGATTACAGCCCCCACACCACACACCAGAACCACTATAGCCCAGACTACAGCCCCCACACCACCCACCAGAACCACTATAGCCCAGACTACAGCCCCCACACCACCCACCAGAACCACTGTAGCCCAGATTACAGCCCCCACACCACCCACCAGAACCACTATAGCCCAGACTACAGCCCCCACACCACCCACCAGAACCACTATAGCCCAGACTACAGGCCCCACACCACCCACCAGAACCACTATAGCCCAGACTACAGCCCCCACACCACCCACCAGAACCACTATAGCCCAGACTACAGCCCCCCACCACCCACCCACCCAGAAACCCCCCAACTATAGCCCAGACTACAGCCCCCACACCACCCACCAGAACCACTATAGCCCAGACTACAGCCCCCCACACCACCACCAGAACCACTGTAGCCCAGACTACAGCCCCCACACCACCCACCAGAACCACTGTAGCCCAGACTACAGCCCCCACACCACCCACCAGAACCACTGTAGCCCAGACTACAGCCCCCACACCACCCACCAGAACCACTATAGCCCAGACTACAGCCCCCACACCACCCACCAGAACCACTGTAGCCCAGACTACAGCCCCCACACCACCCACCAGAACCACTGTAGCCCAGACTACAGCCCCCACACCACCCACCAGAACCACTATAGCCCAGACTACAGCCCCCACACCACCCACCAGAACCACTGTAGCCCAGACTACAGCCCCCACACCACCCACCAGAACCCCTGTAGACACACACTCCTACCAGGCCTCAGTGGGCCATCTGCCTCCATAAACAACAGCTCAGATGGAAGGCTGGAAATCAAACAATAGCAGAGTGTAGAGTTATGGGCTATGTGGGCCTTTTAGTGATGGCTAATGTATTCCAGGGGATTTAGACTAGACAGGCTTGTTTCTGCAGCACAACCACAAATGACTGTCATAAAGGGATGGAGAAGAGGATATAGACACTGGTTGTTTTGCCGTGAATGTATTCTAGTAGTTAGTCTAGTCCCTATGCAATCCCAATTGTAGAATGGCATTTTGCATAATATTACACAAATAGATTTGAAGTAACATTGTTTCCCTATAAAAACATTTTCTGGATGAAATTCTCAAAGCTGAATGAACAGTAACAGCATTTAGTTGCTATTAGTTCAGAATAATCTTCTTTGCATGAAGATTGGTACTGTACTGTACCTCTCCCTAACCTCTCACTTCAATGCCCCTCCCTCCCTCCCTATAGGCTGGTAAGCTAGACCCCCACCTGGTTCTGGACCAGCTGAGGTGTAATGGTGTTCTGGAGGGGATCCGTATCTGCAGACAGGGCTTCCCCAACCGTATCGTCTTCCAGGAGTTCAGACAGAGGTACCGTACTCACTGTACACACACCTCATACAGACTATTTATGTATTTCAACCCAATTGTTAAGTTCCTATATTTACTTTTGAGAGATAGATTACAGAGGGCAAAGTGTCATTGGTTTCCCATTGCCCTGGGTGTTGTGTTTTGACTATCTCATGGAGCTCTTCTATTTCTGAAGAGTGAGGCTTCTGCAAGATCTGAGGCCTCTCACGTCTCCACTCTCCTCACACCCTGGTGCTAGTCAACATGGAGGTGTGGTGTAATGACCCAGTGCCTTTACACACTCCTGTCCGCTCTATTGCCAGGTATGAGATCCTCACCCCCAACGCCATCCCCAAGGGCTTCATGGATGGCAAGCAGGCCTGTGAGAGAATGGTGAGGATTTGTGTGTTCACTATTTTACTGTGTTTACGCATTGAAAACTCAGGAGAGGCTCTTAGTCCTTTTACAAGCTACAGTACAGTAAGAATGTTACATTTTATTTCTACTTCATAAACACCCATGACATGATTCTTCCTTAGTATTTATACAGCATCACTTAAATTACACTGTTTATTATGATTTGGCCTCCCTTCCCTGAATTCAAATGAATGACCCATTTTCACTCCAGATCCGAGCCTTGGAGTTGGATCCTAACCTGTTCAGGATTGGTCAGAGTAAGATCTTCTTCAGGGCTGGAGTCTTGGCCCACCTGGAGGAGGAGAGAGACCTGAAGATCACTGACATCATCATCTACTTCCAGTCTGTCTGCCGGGGATACCTGGCCCGCAAGTGAGTTCTCTAGATGCAATGGCTTTACCTTTCCCAATTTCCTTTCTTTCATGACCACTACAACACTTCTTAGGACAGAAAGATGCCACAGATATATGTTGTCTTTGACCATCTTGGTCAGTATGTCTGACCATGTGTCTCCCCTCTCTCTCCTGACAGGGCATTTGCTAAGAAGCAGCAGCAACTGAATTGTCTGAAGGTGCTTCAGAGGAACTGTTCTGCCTACCTGAAGCTGAAGCATTGGCAGTGGTGGAGACTCTTTACTAAGGTAGGCATGTCTCCATTACATTACACTATATCTACTGTATATGGCTAATCAGTCTTTGTAACACCAGCATTGCATTGATAAGGCTCCTGATCATCTGCTTTTGAACATAACCACCTTTGTGAGTCTGCAGTGGCTGACCCCAGGTCTGTGTTCTGTCCTGCCCCCAGGTGAAGCCCCTGCTGCAGGTGACCAGGCAGGAGGAGGAGATGCAGGCCAAGGACGATGAGCTGGTCAAGGTGAAGGAGAAGCAGACCAAGGTGGAAGGAGAACTGGTGGAGATGGAGAGAAAGCACTCACAGGTCAGTATCCAGTCCACACCAACTACAGTAAGTACACTCTTAGAAAAAAGGTGCTATCTAGAACCTAAAAGGGCTATTCATCTGTTCACATAGGATAACCCTTTGAAGAACCCTTTTTGGTTCCAGGTAGAACTCTTTTGAGTTTCATGTAGAACCCTTTTCGCAGAAGGTTCTACCTGGAACCCAAAAGAGTTCTACCTGGAACCAAAAAGGGTTCTACCTGAAACTAAAAATGGTTATCCTATGGGGACAGCCAAAGAGCCCATTTGGAACATGTTTTTGTAAGAGAGTAGACCCTAAGGATCATCCCTTTATGAACTTCAATTCTGCACTGTACCATTCATTCCATTATGCCCATGTTTGCATTGTGTAGCTGACTGAGGAGAAGAACATCCTAGCGGAGCAGCTGCAGGCTGAGACAGAGCTGTTTGCAGAGGCTGAGGAGATGAGAGCCCGTCTGGCCGCTAAGAAGCAGGAGCTGGAGGAGATCCTTCATGACCTGGAGGCCAGAGTGGAGGAGGAGGAGGAGAGGAACCAGGGACTGCAAAGCGAAAAGAAAAAGATGCAGTCTCACATCCAGGTACTGATGAGACACGGAGACTGCAGAGTGGAAGCTTGAGAAGCTTGAACATGGAAGTGGTTGCACGTGTTTTATGACAGAAAATAGATTTTCAGTGGACCCAAAACATTTCTACCAGTTACCTTCTTGATAGATGCTGTGATTTTGTCTTCCAGGACCTGGAGGAGCAGTTGGATGAGGAGGAGGCTGCCAGGCAGAAGCTGCAGCTGGAGAAGGTGACAGCCGAGGCCAAGATGAAGAAGTTTGAGGAGGACATCTTGCTCCTGGAGGACCAGAACTCCAAGTTCCTAAAGGTGGGTGGAGATGAAAGGCAGTCCAGGGTTGAGCAATATTGGACCTTACTAACGTTATGTTGCTGGACTTCACTATTATTATAAAACAACCTGACTCCTCTTTCCCCCTTCAGGAGAAGAAGCTCCTGGATGACCGTGTGAATGAGATGATGTCCCAGCTGACTGAGGAGGAGGAGAAGGCCAAGAACCTGGGCAAGACAAAGAACAAGCAGGAGGTGATGATGGTGGACCTGGAAGGTAGGTGTCCTCTTACCTACAAGGTCTCACTAGTTAAAGGTAGTGAGTTCAGACACTTTAACTCCATCCGTCTCCTTCCCTTCTCCCTTCAGGGCGTTTAAAGAAGGAGGAGAAGACTCGCCAGGAGCTGGAGAAGGCCAAGAGGAAGCTGGATGGAGAGACCACAGACCTGCAGGACCAGATAGCTGAGCTGCAGGCCCAGATAGAGGAGCTCAAGGTGCAGCTGGCCAAGAAGGAGGAAGAGCTGCAGGCTATACAGGCCAGGTGAGAGACAGACAGACAGACAGACAGGGCCCAAAGCTGGATGGAAGCCACCTGGAGATGTAGTTCAGCTGTCTTTTGCCATTGGAAGGTGTTTGACTGAGAGGAAGTCTGATTCTCTGACTGACTTAGACTGAGGTAATTATCACATAGCTGTGTAGCGTTGTCATCAAATTCACTCCTATTTTAATTGTCTCAACACCTGTCTTTTATATACCATATTTAACAGTCTACTGTTGGCCAGACTTGCACCGGTAATCTGGCTATTAAAACCCTATGAGCATTTACCATTTTTATGGCCCTCTCGTCATGATATGGTGCTGACCAGACCACCCAGCAGCTATTTATTCAGGAGATCTCACTGGGATGGAATGTGTAAATGGTGGCCCCACATCTAGACTGCGTTGATCACTGGCCATTAAAAACACACAGCTCTATCACGCCCAACTCACATACTCAATGGTAGTGACAGAAACCAGGTATCTGTGTTTATATCAGGATATATGCTCTTATACTGCCACCCAGTGGAAAAGACATGCATAGCAACTTGGTTCAACTGTCCATGGATAGGTCTATGACTAATTGGGGTCCTTTGTACAGGTACAACAATGTTTTATTTTGCATCCTAATAAAGAATTTAAATGTGTGTGTGTGTGTGTGTGTCAGGGGAGACGATGAGGGGACCCAGAAGAACAATGCCCTGAAGCAGGTACGGGAACTACAGGCCCAGCTGGCAGAGCTGCAGGAGGACCTGGAATCAGAAAAGGTCTCCAGGAACAAGGCTGAGAAACTCAAGAGAGACCTGAGTGAGGAGCTGGAGGCCTTAAAGACGGAGCTGGAGGACACCCTGGACACCACCGCAGCCCAGCAGGAGCTCCGGACCAAGCGTGAGCAGGAGGTGACGGAGCTGAAGAAGGCCATCGACGAGGAGACCAAGAATCACGAGGCCCAGATCCAGGAGATGAGACAGAGACACTCCACGGCCCTGGAGGAGCTATCTGAGCAGCTGGAGCAGGCCAAGAGGGTGGGTGGCTTCACAACAACAGCATGGTCATGTTTAGTCGACAAACACGAGAAAATGTTTCACGTGGATGAGGTAGTTGAGGTAGTACTTCCTCTGTTTTAAATGTTTTTCTCCTGTTTTGAGTCGTCTGAGCATGATTCCTATTGTAATATCTCTTGGTCTGTGTCCAGTTCAAGGTCAACCTGGAGAAGAACAAGCAGAGCACAGAGAGTGCCAACAAGGAGCTGGTCAGTGAGGTAAAGGGGCTGCAGCAGGCCAAGACGGAGTCAGAACACAAGAGGAAGAAGCTGGAGGCCCAGCTCCAGGAGTTCATGGCCCGGGTCACAGAGGGAGAGAAGAGCAAGGGAGAGCTGGCCGACCGCTCCCACAAACTACAGGTGACAGGGGGACATTTGCAGCACACACACAAATATACACACACACACACACTTTAACCTCTGCTGGTGATGGTCTCTCAACTGTGCTGTTTGCTGTGTGTGCAGACAGAGCTGGATAGTGTGTCTGCTCTGCTGGAGGATGCAGAGAGGAAGGGAATCAAGCTGGTTAAAGACACCACTGTCCTGGAGAGCGCTTTGCAGGACACACAGGTGAGCTAGACTGGACAACCTCTCATCGGAGAGGAACACATCATGTGGTCTCTTAAAGGCCCATGGCAGTCAAAATTCAGTTTTTCCTGTGTTTTATATCATGTTGTACAACAGCTGATGAAACTAACACTGAACAAATTTGATCAGTGTTATTTCCTAGTTGCTGGTTGAAAATACAATCTAGGCAAGACCTTCTAATCAGCAGGTTTGCATGGGTGGGAGTTTCGGCTTTCCATGGTGACATCGCCATGCGGTAAACTGGTTAATAGACCAATAACAAAGTTACCAAACCTCTCTGCCAATAACAGCTAGTTTTTAAGTTTTCCCCTCCCCTCAAACCACTCCCAGACAGTCCTAGCAAAATTGTTGCTTGAGAAAAAGATCTTTTGCTAAAAAGCAATTTTTGCCCATTTTAATGGAAATCTATTACAATAAAGTATTTAATTGTTACCAAGAAATTATTTGATGTTGATATAAAAATGGCTGCATTAGGCCTTTAAGTTAAGAGGAGGTGGCATTCTGTTTCCATGTCCATGTCTCACCTTTGTGATATGGTGTGTGTGTGTGTGTGTGTGTGTGTGTGTGTGTGTGTGTGTGTGTAGGAGCTTCTCCAGGAAGAGACGCGTCAGAAGCTGAACATGAGCAGTCGTATCCGCCAGCTGGAGGAGGAGAAGAGCACCCTGCAGGAGCAGCAGGAGGAGGATGAGGAGGCGCGCAGGAACCTGGAGAAACAGCTGTGCACACTGCAGGCCCAGGTCAGCACCTTACAGCTTAACTGTACCTATTCAAATAATATTACACATTAACTGCAACACAGAGGATATCACCATAACAAGCTACCACTTACTGTAGCCATCCTTCAGTGAGCATCATATCATTATAAACATGATGTATGTGTAGCTGGTTGAGACCAAGAAGAAGCTGGAGGATGACGTGGGGATGGTGGAGGGTCTGGAGGAGGTGAAGAGGAAGCTGCAGAAGGACATGGAGCTGGCCACCCTGAGGCTGGAGGAGAAGGGCATCGCCTTTGAGAAGATGGAGAAGACCAAAACCCGCCTGCAGCAGGAGCTGGACGACCTCATGGTGGATCTGGACCACCAGAGAACCATCGTCTCCAACCTGGAGAAGAAACAGAAGAAGTTTGACCAGGTTTGACTGACCACTTTAAGACATCCATAATGGTAGCTAAGTTGGCTTGGTCTTAGTAGCACAGTATGGAATGGCATTGTGTAGATAGATGGTGGAGCTGTTCCTTCTGTAAGTCAGTGTTTGTCCTGTGTTGTAGCTGCTGGCTGAGGAGAAGAACATATCTGCACGCTACGCTGAGGAGAGGGACAAGGCTGAGGCGGAGGCCAGGGAGAAGGAGACCAAGTCCCTGTCTCTGGCCCGGGCTCTGGATGAGGCTCTGGAGGCCAAGGAGGAGTTTGAGAGACTCAACAAGCAGCTGAGGAGTGAGATGGAGGACCTGATGAGCTCCAAGGACGACGTGGGCAAGAACGTGAGTGTTGCACTGAATACCTGTGTTTTGTTCAGCTGAGGGCAGAAAGGTTTGCATCTGTTGTTTTAAAATGGACTGCTCTGCATCCTACAGAAATAAACTTGGTTAAACCTAAACTTTAAAAGGCCAGTTCATTCCAAATAGCATCACCTCAAAGTATCTTCTCTACCCCTGTCCAGGTCCATGAGTTGGAGAAGTCCAAGAGGACTCTGGAGCAGCAGCTGGAAGAGATGAGGACTCAGCTGGAGGAGCTGGAGGACGAGCTGCAGGCCACGGAGGACGCCAAGCTGCGTCTGGAGGTCAACATGCAGGCCATGAAGGCCCAGTATGAGAGAGACCTGCAGGGGCGAGACGACCAGAACGATGAGAAGAAGAGGGCGCTTGTCAAACAGGTGCATAGAGGACGCATCACTTCCATACAAACAAGAATTGTGTTGTGCCCCCCCCAAAAAAAAAGTGCCAGGAAGAATATATTGTCATACCCTCAGAGAATGTCCACCACCCCCTTCCCCTCCTCTGACCGGGTCTGTCCTGGTCTCCTCAGGTGCGTGAGATGGAGGCAGAGCTGGAGGATGAGAGGAAGCAGAGAGCCCTGGCCGTGGCTGCTAAGAAGAAGCTGGAGATGGACCTGAAGGACATGGTGGGACAAATAGAGGGCGCCAACAGGGCCCGTGACGAGGCCATCAAGCAGCTACGCAAACTGCAGGTGAGAAACTCACACTGTCTGTGGAACAGACAAGACAAGACAAAAAATAAATAAATATTAAATAAAAATATATTTATTTTGGTCAATAATGGGATTCGATCTATCTCCACTTTCTCCCTCAGGCCCAGATGAAAGACTACCAGAGGGAGTTGGAGGACGCCCGGGCCTCTCGGGACGAGATATTCTCCCAATCTAAGGAGAACGAGAAGAAGCTGAAGAGCCTGGAGGCCGAGGTTCTCCAGCTGCATGAGGTACAGTGGGCTGTAGGATTGCTCCTGTCATAACTATGTGTCTTGGTCTGCTGTTTCCTGTATTCTAGACTGGCTCGTCTTACTGTGAGAAATGGTGACATGTGTTTGACCTCTGTGACCTCTGGCCTGTAGGACCTGGCGGCGTCAGAGAGGGCGCGGCGCCACGCAGAGCAGGAACGGGATGAGCTAGCGGACGAGATCTCCAACAGCACCTCGGGCAAGTCTGCCTTGATGGATGAGAAAAGGAGGCTGGAGGCTCGTATTGCTCAGCTGGAGGAGGAACTAGAGGAGGAACAGGGCAACATGGAGCTGCTCAATGACCGCTTCCGCAAGACCACCATGCAGGTATGAGCCAGGAGGAAACCTTTTCAGGTTGCAAACTTGATCATTGTAATCATATTACCCTTGTTCTTCTGACTTTTAGGGAACAATCCATTATTCAGCACCTACCAGAAAAAGCACTCTTATCTCTCTCTCACTTTCCCCTTCTCTCCTTCATTCACCCCTGTTTTCCTCTCTCCACCTCTCTCTTCCCCCTCCCCTCCCCCAGGTGGACACCCTGACCCTGGAGCTTGTGTCGGAGCGCAGCGTGGCCCAGAAGAGTGAGAATGCGCGGCAGCAGCTGGAGAGGCAGAACAAGGAACTGCGGGCCAAGCTGGGCGAGCTGGAGGGCTCCGTGAAGAGCCGGTTCAAGGCCTCCATTACCGCCCTGGAGGCCAAGATACTGCAGCTGGAGGAGCAGCTGGAGCAGGAGGCCAAGTGAGAAACACAGCAACTATCTTATACAACTCCAAACCTTATTAGACAGGGTGAAATAGGAGACCAAGACTCAGGAGGAGTTAATGAGGGGTTTAGAAAAAGCTCATCCCGTTGGAAGAGAGGTTCTTGAATGTAATCAAAATGTTAATGTGATCAATGTAATGAGTCAAAAGCAATTTGGAGCTCTTTGCAATCTTAAGAGATGTACTTGAAGATCTATGACTGACAGCCTTTGTTACAGTGAGGTTCCTGTGGTGATATGACCTATATGTCATATGACCTCATTCCTCTGTCCTCCTCTCAGGGAGCGAGCAGCGGCCAATAAGCTTGTGAGACGGACAGAGAAGAAGCTGAAGGAGGTGTGCATGCAGGTGGAGGACGAGCGTCGCCATGCCGACCAGTACAAGGAACAGGTGAGGAGCTTGTCACGGATGTTTGGACGTCCCAGATCTTATAGCTACAATATGTAACTTTTTGGGAAACCTGACCAAATTCACATAGAAATGTGAGTTATAGATTTTACATTTACATTTTAGTCATTTAGCAGACGCTTTTATCCAGAGCGACTTACAGTTAGTGAGTGCATACATTTTCATACTGGCCCCCCGTGGGAAATGAACCCACAACCCTGGCGTTGCAAGCGCCATGCTCTACCAACTGAGCTACAGGAGACTATAGATCTTTAATTATCATTGAAAACAAGTCTAAAAAGCGATAGATCTGTTCTATGTGCGCTATTTCTATGCTTCCCGTTCTTAAGTTTAGTTTTTGCGTCTTTTACTTTCGGTTTTGTACATCAGCTGAAAATACATATATTTTTGGTTAGGGATTCGCTACACAATGACTGCTTGTTTTGACACATAAACAGAAATTAGGCGAATTCTGCATAGTGCATTTTTTTGATTTACATAGCTAAAGAAGGAATTATATCCAATTCAGTAAAACTTACAAAGGTGGAACAGGATTGGATAGGTGTGAAGATTTAGGATTGGAGTCTTTCCTACAGTAGGTTATTTCCAGTAACCATTGGACCACAGGACTGCTGAGTATTGTAAGTATTAGTATTGACTGTTCATCACTGTTGATGTCTGATGTGACTCCTGGCTGAGTCAGATGGAGAAGGCCAACTCTCGGATGAAGCAGCTGAAGAGGCAGCTTGAGGAGGTTGAGGAGGAGGCCACACGGGCCAACGCCTACCGCAGGAAGCTGCAGAGGGAGGTGGACGATGCCACCGAGGCCAGCGAGGGCCTCAGCCGCGAGGTCAACACACTCAAGAGCCGCCTCAGGTATTTAGAGCCCCACACACACACACATACTGACACAGTACACACACACATACACACAAACTGCCCACAGTGGGTCCTAGTTAGTATGGAGGTCAACTCTAAGATGATATTTGTGTATATTGGCCACATTGATGGCCCTTGTTACTAATACCTCTCCACCTCTCCTGGCCTCCCCTGTCCCCTGCAGGCGTGGAGGCCCCATCAGTTTCTCCTCCAGCCGCTCGGGCAGGCGTCAGCTGCAGGTGGAGGGAGCATCGCTTGACCTCCTATCCGACGATGAGGTGGAAAACAAGCCCACCGACGCCAATGCCAACGAGACGCCAGCAGCTCCCCAACCAGAGTAGAAGCTCTCCCTCCAGCCCACATGCAGCATGGCCTCCGCCCCCACAACCCTTACCCCTGTCCTCCTAACCCCAGACACCAGCAGTGGACCCCACTACTCTGCCTTACCCCTCTATGGCAAGCTGCAGGGCCAAGCAAATCCATAATCTCCTCCATATGAATATACTGCACATCAAGCCTTGGATTTGTTTTTAAGACCAATTGCAGATAAAAGTGCATTTAAATTGCATAGGAGTCTGAGTGTGCATAGGCACTCGAAAAACAAATAACAGGACTTTACCATCATTATGTTAAGCTAGTTCCCTGGAACACCCATTAGAATCAAACAGCCCTCTAGCTAGAATTTAACCATTGTCATTTCAGTTGGCTTACTGGCAAACAGCTGGACGACTGCACACAAGTCGGTATAAACGTGTCTTTGATGATTGTACAGGATTGGACCAGGATATGTAAAACAAAGCACAGCATAAGCGAGGGAATGATTTTTAAATAGTAACCTAAATGACGATCCCACTTAATTTTTTCATCAAAATCACCATGTCATAGAGATACTGCAATCTACTTAGTTTAGTATAAAAATAACTGTATGTGAATAAGGGTTTTTTCAGGCAGACATTCTTTGATTATTTGGTAGCAGGTTTGTAGTGAATGAGATTGTACCACGCCATGTTGCCTCAGCACTTCCCCTATATATATGACCAGCAAAAGACCCTGTTAGCTTTACCATTATAACAGTGTCCAATAACCCACCATTTTATATTTGACATATCAATCTACTTTAAGTGGTGTACGATAGTGTGTGGAATTAGGTTTGTCAGACTTGGGAGCAATGGCCCTTTTTTTAGGAAGACAGCCCAAATGTGTACAATATTGCTCTGTATAATTCTGCCTATTCAGGTATGTTTTCTGTACCATGTACAAAATGCTTAACTCAAAATGCATAAGGTTTCTTTGTCACCTCGTGTCACCTTAATATCAATCAATGCATTACAAATGGCTAAATAATATGAGCATGATTTACAGAAGGGTAATTAATGTTTTATTGAGGTTTATTGATTGTTAGAGCATTGGTTTTAATTCAGTGGTTCAGGGTTGAGCAATAGATCAATTTGAATGTGCACACTTTTGTTGATGCCTTGATTGTTAAATGTTAAACATAAATTACCATTATGTAAATGCTAATTACATATTTGAGGCCTTTATTATTCATTTTAAGCAATAACAAATTGGGGGAAAAAGGTTTCTCTAATGTTTCGTTTGAAAGTGCCTTAGACACTTCTCAATAAAGCAACTTGGATGGACATGGGGAAAGAACATGTAGTGTTTGAACCAGTTTCATAGCTTTAGTGTCATATCATACCATAAGCACTGCTCCCATCGTGTTGGTGTGAACCAGTGTTAAAACAGAATGATATATGGAGCCTTCTGTCTGCCTGGCATAAAGTAGGATTTCATTGGGTTCAAAGCTTAAACATCCTGAAGGTTGTTATTATTAGTGGACTGGCTGTTGACAACCAGGTATTCATCATCTCCTTTTATTTCTTGTGTTTCTATACTTTTTGTTGTTGTTGTAAAAGACCAATAAACATATCCATTATAGAAAATGTATTTTATTTTAATTTTTTCCTGTACAACACGTTGATGTCCTCTTAGTCTTTCCCACAGTAATTGTGGGTCAAGACTGTCTTCCAAACTGATATGTGATGTATGGTCTATGTTACATTGCCATTCATTGTCCCATTACTTTATTGTATTTGCTGTTCCATTAAAACCCTGAGGGAGTGCGTAGACGATAGACTGTGCACAGACACACAATATGATTGTAATATTATTAACTGTTTTTTTAAACAATATTTTTTCATTCCACTTTTTACCCAGCATGAATGATAGGGATTGCCTCTTATACAGTGCATTCGGAAAGTATTCAGACCCCTTGACTTTTCCACATTTTGTTACGTTACAGCCTTATTCTAAAATTGATTAAATAAATAGAATTCCTCATCAATCTACACACAATATCTCATAATGATGAAGTGAAAACAGGTTTTTAGAAATTCTAGCAAATTTATACAAAATAAAAAACAGAAATACCTTATTTACATAAGTATTCAGACCCTTTGCTATGAAACTCGAAAGGTGCATCCTGTTTCCATTGATCATCCTTGAGATGTTTCTACAACTTGATTGGAGTGCACCTGTGGTAAATTCAATTGATTGTACATGATTTGGAAAGGCACACACCTGTCTATATAAGGTCCCGCAGTTGACAGTGCATGTCAGAGCATAAACCAAGCTATGAGGTCAAAGGAATTGTCCTCCATCATTCTTAAATGGAAGAAGTTTGGAACCACCAAGACTTCCTAGAGCTGGCCGCCCGGCTAAACTGAGCAATCGGAGGAGAAGGGCCTTGGTCAGGGAGGTGACCAAGAATCCGATGGTCACTCTGACAGAGCTCCAGAGTTCCTCTGTGGAGATGGGAGAACCTTCCAGAAGGACAACCATCTCTGCAGCACTCCACCAATCAGGTCTTTATGGTAGAGTGGCCAGACGCAAGCCACTTCTCAGTAAAAGGCACATGACAGCCCGCTTGGAGTTTGCCAAAAGGCACCTAAAGACTCTCAGACCATGAGAAACAAGATTCTCTGGTCTGATGAAACCAAGATTGAACTCTTTGGCCTGAATGCCAAGCGTCACGTCTGGAGGAAACCTGGCAACATTTCTACGGTGAAGCATAAAATTTCTAAAAACCAGTTTTTGCTTTGTCATTATGGGGTATTGTGTGTAGATTGATGAGAATAAAAAAAAAAACTATTTAATCAATTTTAGAATAAGGCTGCAACGTAACAAAATGTGGAAAAAGTCAAGAGGTCTGAATACTTTCCGAAAGCACTGTAGGTACATTTATTAGCTACCATGTACAGTAAAGGAAAATAAATCGTACTAGGTCGGTGAGATGTTTTATATTTATACAATTGTAAACATACAGTAGATAGCCTAGAGTAGGTACATGCTTTGTGGTGTAGGCTGTTTCTTCTGGTGGTCTAGAGCATCCTGATATCCTGGTGGTCTAGGGCAGCTTGATGGTGGTCTAGGGCAGCTTGATGGTGGTCTAGGGCAGCTTGATGGTGGTTTAGGGCAGCCTGATGTCCTGGTGGTCTAGGGCAGCCTGATGCCCTGGTGGTTTAGAGCAGAATGATTCCCTGGTGGTCTAGGGTAGCTTGATGGTGTTCTAGGGCAGCTTGATGGTGGTCTAGGGCAGCCTGATGCCCTGCTGGTCTAGGGCAGCTTTATTCCCTGTGGTCTAGGGCAGCCTGGTGGTCTAGGGCAGCCTAATTCGATTCTGACTGTCATCTGATGTTTCCTGGTGTTGTGGTAGGTATTACTCCAGGTGGTCCCTGAGCTCTGTGCCTCTCCCTGAGTTTTACGATGGGTTCTCCTGGTGCTGCTCCTGGTCCTGAGGGGCCTGGTCTCCTTCACCTGCTTCACTACAATGAGTAGTGACAGGGAGATCTTACATACAATGTCTGGACAATGTGTAGAGGGATTACAGGTTAAAGGGATAACTTAACACGTGGTCAATTAATCAGCTTTCTAACTTTGGTAAACACCTACAGTGGGGGAAAAAAAGTATTTAGTCAGCCACCAATTGTGCAAGTTCTCCCACTTAAAAAGATGAGAGAGGCCTGTAATTTTCATCATAGGTACACGTCAACTATGACAGACAAAATGAGGGAAAAAAATCCAGAAAATCACATTGTAGGATTTGTTATGAATTTATTTGCAAATTATGGTGGAAAATAAGTATTTGGTCAATAACAAAAGTTTCTCAATACTTTGTTATATACCCTTTGTTGGCAATGACACAGGTCAAACGTTTTCTGTAAGTCTTCACAAGGTTTTCACACACTGTTGCTGGTATTTTGGCCCATTCCTCCATGCAGATCTCCTCTAGAGCAGTGATGTTTTGGGGCTGTCGCTGGGCAACACGGACTTTCAACTCCCTCCAAAGATTTTCTATGGGGTTGAGATCTGGAGACTGGCTAGGCCACTCCAGGACCTTGAAATGCTTCTTACGAAGCCACTCCTTCGTTGCCCTGGCGGTGTGTTTGGGATCATTGTCATGCTGAAAGACCCAGCCACGTTTCATCTTCAATGCCCTTGCTGATGGAAGGAGGTTTTCACTCAAAATCTCACGATACATGGCCCCATTCATTCTTTCCTTACACGGATCAGTCGTCCTGGTCCCTTTGCAGAAAAACAGCCCCAAAGCATGATGTTTCCACCCCCATGCTTCACAGTAGGTATGGTGTTCTTTGGATGCAACTCAGCATTCTTTGTCCTCCAAACACGACGAGTTGAGTTTTTACCAAAAAGTTATATTTTGGTTTCATCTGACCATATGACATTCTCCCAATCCTCTTCTGGATCATCCAAATGCACTCTAGCAAACTTCAGACGGGCCTGGACATGTACTGGCTTAAGCAGGGGGACACGTCTGGCACTGCAGGATTTGATTCCCTGGCGGCGTAGTGTGTTACTGATGGTAGGCTTTGTTACTTTGGTCCCAACTCTCTGCAGGTCATTCACTAGGTCCCCCCGTGTGGTTCTGGGATGTTTGCTCACCGTTCTTGTGATCATTTTGACCCCATGGGGTGAGATCTTGCGTGGAGCCCCAGATCGAGGGAGATTATCAGTGGTCTTGTATGTCTTCCATTTCCTAATAATTGCTCCCACAGTTGATTTCTTAAAACCAAGCTGCTTACCTATTGCAGATGCAGTCTTCCCAGCCTGGTGCAGGTCTACAATTTTGTTTCTGGTGTCCTTTGACAGCTCTTTGGTCTTGGCCATAGTGGAGTTTGGAGTGTGACTGTTTGAGGTTGTGGACAGGTGTCTTTTATACTGATAACAAGTTCAAACAGGTGCCATTAATACAGGTAACGAGTGGAGGACAGAGGAGCCTCTTAAAGAAGAAGTTACAGGTCTGTGAGAGCCAGAAATCTTGCTTGTTTGTAGGTGACCAAATACTTATTTTCCACCATAATTTGCAAATAAATTCATAAAAAATCCTACAATGTGATTTTCTGGATTTTTTTTTCTCAATTTGTCTGTCATAGTTGACGTGTACCTATGATGAAAATTTACAGGAACTTGCACAATTTGTGGCTGACTAAATACATTTTTTCCCCACTGTATTTTTATTATTTTATTCTACTCATTGTCAACATTGACTCCACTTGTGGCGTTCTTCTCAAATGTGTGGGCTAGAGCCTTACCTGCAGACGTAGAACAGGATGTAGGCAGTCTGTGCCCTCGCCCTCAGCACAGTGGCCTCATCTGTCCTCAAGACACGTGAGTCATCCAGGCAGAGCCACCCACTCCCACGGCTGTCCAAAACATCACTGATGTAGTGGCCTGGGGAACAAGGGAGACAGAATAGAGTGTACATTAAGATTTCATAATTGTGTCCGTGCATGCGTACGTGCATTTTACCTGTATACATGTTGTCTCCCAGATGTGAGATCACACTTGACAATTTGTAGATATTGTCTGTCTGGTGTCTCTATAAGGAAACACATTTAATAATAGGATTCTTATTTTGTCTACAGGATAGGGGTGCCTTATATAACTGCCTTATCTTGATCCGCCCACTATCTCAACTGGATCTAATTATCTGTTATTTATTTTCCTCTCTCTCTCTCTCTCTCTCTCTCTCTCTCTCTCTCTCTCTCTCTCTCTCTCTCTCTCTCTCTCTCTCTCTCTCTCTCTCTCTCTCTCTCTCTCCTCACCACAGCGGCTGTCTGCTGCCCTTTCTCACTGTCAGCTGGTTTCTCTAGCTGGTCAGAGGAGTTTGAAGCTGGTATATCAAATATAGTGTAAATACAAACCAAAAATTGAAGTGGAAACCTTCTATCTACAAATGTACTCATAACTTCAGCTTCCGACTTGCTTTTCTTAACAGTCCTGTTTCATGAGTGGGTGTTCTGTGTGATTTCAGTAACACAATGTCCTACCTGGTCTATCAAGGGTGCCTTCTGCGGAGTTTGCAGGTATGTTGTCCACGTTGTTGTTTCCCAGTGAGCTTGCCCTGTGTAAATCGATGGCATTGAAAATCAATATCTAGTGTGTGTTGGCTACTCAATGTACAATGTCCCCAAACAGAGTGTAAACCAACCTGGCTCCATGCTGGACAGAGGCTGTCTCTCCACATAGGGCTGGGAGGGTCAGATCTGCAGGGATGGACATGGGATCATCCACCTTCTCTGGCTCCCAGTCGCCTGCAGTAAACCGCTTCATATGAAGCATTAGGACCCTGCTCAGAGACAGACAGGCAGACAGACAGACATTCACACAGACAGACAGACATTCACACAGACAGACAGACAGACAAAGACAGACAGGCAGGCAGGCAGGCAGGCAGGCATTCACACAGACAGACGGACAGGCAGGCATTCACACAGACAGACGGACAGGCATTCACACAGACAAAGGAATCAGTCTTGTACTCAAATCAATAACCCAGTTTGTTGAGTTAGATCAGGACAGTCAATTGTAATCTGAGAGTAGATGATGGGGGTAGATGATTGGGGGTGGATGATGGGGGTAGATGATTGGGGGTGGATGATGGGGGGACTCACCGGGGCAGCGTGAGGAAGTGCCTAGTCACAGATGCAATGCTGCCTGAGCAGTCCCTGCATGCACACTCTAAAGCAGATGGCTAGGTGACATAGCACAGCAATACAACTATGAACATTATGACATTAATGATAGTGTTCCTTGACATACTCACTAACTCTTGGTTTAAGCTAAGTGCTGACCTTAAAGTAGAGGTCCAGGCTCAGTGACAGGTGATTGTAATCCTCCTGACCATAGACTATAACTCCACAGCTTCAGAGGTAGGGATAGAAATGCTTCTCAAACACAAACCTGTGATCCCTTTACACACTAACTAGCTTAATGCTTTACCTCTGTATCCTTCATGTTTTGCTGACATTAAACCTCCTCACAAATGTGATGAAGACATCAATGTACACCGTATACAAATAACAGCTGTTACCTGGTGCAGGTACGGGTAGTCTTCAGCTTGAATTCTAACTGCTTCACGGGGCAGGTGTATGGCCTTTAATGCCATACCCTCCTCCTTCAGCTGAAAGAGGAGGAGCACCACAAATTCATGGGCACCCTAAGAGAAGAAAATACATAAACAACTACAACTGAAATAGAGCTAAGAAAAAAGATTGTCACTTGTCACAGGTTTATTGGAAAGTGAGTGTTTAGCCTACAGTACCTTACCTGTTCATCGTCGTCCTCGTTGCCAACGAAGATACAGCTCTTGACTGTTTGAAGGATTTTCTTATTTTCCTTTATCTTAGCCTTAACTGTGCCTCCAGAAAGCCTTGCCTGATGTAAATCGGCAAAGCAGCTGTGGAGGGAGACAAAGAGCATTCATTCAGGTTTCACTCTCTCTCACTTTGGCCACAGGTTAGCTCTGTGCTTCTACTTTAGCCTCTGATCAAATATGATTAAACTGATTCCTGATTGTGACAGGAAATCACCTCTGATGTTAATCAGTGGCTGATTTGAGTGTGGTTTTATCTTAAAAATCATATGAGGCACTAGGAATGTACGAAAGACAGTATACATACATACATACAGAATACTGAACAAAACTATAAATGCAACATGTTTCATGAGCTGAAATAAAATATCCCAGAAACTTTCCATACGCACAAAAGCTGATTTCTCTCAAATGTTGTGCACAAATTTGTTTACAACCCTGTTAGTGAGCATTTCTCCTTTGCCAAGATAATCCATCCACCTGACAGGTGGCATATCAAGAAGCTGATTAAACAGCATGGTCATTACACAGGTGCACCTTGTGCTGGGGACAATAAAAGGCCACTCAAAAATGTTGTCACACAACACAATACAACAGATGTCTCAAGTTTTGAGGAAGTGTGCAATTGGCATGCTGACTGCAGGAATGTCCACCAACGTCGTTTTAGAGAATTTGGCAGTACATCCAACCAGTCTCACAACCGCAGACCATGTGTAACCACGCCAGCCCAGGACCTCCACATCCGTCTTCTTCACCTACGGGATCGTCTGAGGGGGTGCTGAGGAGTATTTCTGTTTGTAATAAAGCCGTTTTGTGGGGATAAACTCATTCTGATTGGCTGGGCCTGGCTCCCCAGTGGGTGGGCCTATGCCCTCCCAGGCCCACCCATGGCTGCGCCCTTGCGCAGTCGTGAAATCCATAGATTAGGGCCTAATTTATTTATTTCAATTGACTGATTTCCTTATATGAACTGTAACTCAGTAAAATCTTTGAAATTGTTGCATGTTGCGTTTATATTTTTGTTCAGTATACATACATACATACATACATACATACATACATACTGTACATACTGTACATACTGTACATACATACATACCACAGGAGGTTGGTGGCACCTTAATTGGGGAGGAAGAGCTCGTGGTAATGGTTGGAGCGGAATGAGTGGAATGCTATCAAATACATCAAACATATGGTTTCTATGTGTTTGATGCCATTCCATTTGCTCCGTTCCAGACATTATTATGAGCCGTCCTCCCCTCAGCAACCTCCACTGATACATACATTGAGGCGGGACTTGTGTACTGGTGGGTGGGTCAGTGTGTACAGGTGGGACAGGAGAGTGAGAGCGAGGCTATATACCTGAGCAGTTTAGAGGAGGGGGAGGAACTCCAGATGTCCTGCTGTCTCAGGATGTCTCTGCAAAATGCTGGCAGCCCCAGCAGGCACTGCAGAGCAGAGTTCATGAAGCAGGTGTTGCCAATATTAGGCAACCTGTGGGAAAGAAGCCATCAGTTACACACTAATATCTGAACTGTGGACCAAAGGTAAACTAATTAATGGATTTGTAAGGCATGAAAGCAAGATAACTTTGAGTACCACACTGAATTATTTTAAACAAAAATCATAGTTCAGAGATAAGAGTAGGTGTGTGTGTGTTTTACCCAAGGAGCTTGGTGTTGTCTTTGACCTCGCCTGTGCAGCTCTGCTCCCCCAGCTGGGTGCTACTCTTGCTGAACAGGTTGCGGAGGCGGGCCATGGCGTCCCGAGACCTGACCAATGGCCTGGAGGAAGAGAGACAGGTTAGAGGCCTCAGTAGAAGTAGCTCAACCAATCTGTCTGTTTGAACACCGTTTTTAATGTACAGGCATACAGATATTCCTTACCATGTCATGGTGTGAGTGACGACTCTTATGTAGTCGAGTGAGATGAAGGTGGCTATTGTCTACAGTACTTACCTCTCCAGGGAGACAGAGGAAGCCCTCAGGTCAATGGAGGCCTCTGCAGAGAGAGACAGAGAGACAGACAGCGGTAAGAGAGTAGCTTTGTCAAAGATGAATGGAGAAAAATAGCGGCAACAAATGGCACCCGTTTACAGACCTGCGATGGCAGTAATTCGGGGCACCACTCTCTTTGCCTGTGGAACAACTGCCCCCACCTCTTTGACCTCAGAGCTCATGAGATCTCTGTAAAGACACACAGACATATGCATTAGGTTAGCTATATTATATTGGCTTTTTCAATTCAATGGTGTTGGCATGAAATTTGATATCAGGCTGCAGTACCTGGCGGTCTCACTGTCTTTGTTGGTCTCTCCATGGTGGTCCAGGGGGTTTGGAGAGGAGGACCGGGGGGCAGGGGAGGAGATGTGGGTTGGGGAGGAAGGGCAGGTAGGACCGGGGGGAGTGGCAGAGGAGGATGACTGGGTTGAGACAGTCAGGGAAACACAGGAGGCATTAAAAGGGGAGGAGGTCTGTGATCCTCTGAAGAAGAAGAAGAAGAAGAAGAAGAAGAAGAAGAAGAAGAAGAAGAAGAAGAAGAAGAAGAAGAAGAAGAAGAAGAAGAAGAAGACATGTGGAGAGAGGAGCGGGAGGAGAGGCTGAAGAACTTGGAGAGAGTGGAAGGGGATCTGGCAGGGGATCCAGGGGGTGAGGGGGATGGAGTGCCGATTGGTGTTCGGCCAGACAAAGGGTCGAGGGGCGTCAGAGATGTTGTAGACGGTTTCAAACAGAAAGAAGAGACAAAGGAAGAATCAAGTTGGTGGTTATTCTTTACGTTCTTCTTCTCCCGGTTTTTCCAAACTGACACAGTTACCATGCTGGCATCCGATGGCGTCAGTTTGGGTGGGATTGGGAATGGACAGCGGCTCCCAATCCCGAGGCGAACTCTGCACTTCTTTTTCTGTTTGGAGAAACATTATATAGCTAATATTGTACATAAAAATTATAAAAAAGATATTTCTTGCTTCACAACAGAGCTTGTTATATTTGAACTAGCAGCAAAGGTCACACCCAAACCACATGATCTGACCATAAAATCATATTGAATTCTATATCATAGGCCAACAAATAGAAAAAATACATGTTTATCAAAATAAAACCATTGTAACCATACAGTTATACCCTCAGCAATAGACAATGAAAAAACTAGGAATAGCTACAAAGAATAGAATATACTCTAAATTGTAACAGAATGAGATAAATTATAGCCCAGACTAGACATATACCTTTTTTCAGCAACACAAACATCCCATTTCAGTGTATCTGTAGACAATGCCTTATTTTGCAGAACATCAAAATATGTTGCCCATTTAGCATTGTGATGTCATAAGACAAATTATGATGACCCATTTTTGGTGCCATTTGGCTTGACTATGCGTTACCAGCGTAAATAGCCAACAAATCACACACACCAAAATGTTGTAAAATGATTTGACCGTGTATACAGAGTTATTCCTATTTCATAAAATATACAAAATAACTAGGTTCTTGCCAATAAACCTGTTTATATTGGGTTATCTTTCTCCCACGCTCCCTGGGCCATTGACGCGTGATTGTATGAGCTATGGTAGAGGCTAGGAAATTCGAAGTACTGTCTATCAGAATCTGAAAAACGTTTATTGGCCAAGTGGCCTACATTCACACATACACAGAATTTGACTCGGTGAATCAGTGCTGCCAGCAATAGCCAGATGTACAGACACATTTACATTTACATTTACAGAATTTACACAAAGTCTATACAATAATATTATAGCCTATACAATATACAGTAAACATACGACATAAACCATAAACATATTTATTAGCTTCTACTTAAGATACTTTAGAGTAACATTTTATTATGGAAAATAAAATGCCTATTTCACTTCAGTTGACGCTGATCTGATACAGATCGAACGTGTAGCCTTGCAATGGTTGTTAGGAGGCCTTTAACACAGATGGATCTATTAATCTTTGACCGTACCTCATTAAAAATGTGCCACTCTGCCTAGTGAGTAAATTGGTTTTAGATTTGCTGTTCTGTAAACCCAGTTTGTCGCCACCGGTAACAACTGTCAACAGATCATGACATAAATGTAAAGCATAATGTGTTCTCTTAGAGTAGATTGTAGATCTTACTACCACCTCGATTAACGGGCACCCCAGGTGTATGACTACACTGACGCATTCATATGATTGACCAGTTAGTGGTTGCAGCTATCAGAGCGTTCGAGGCTGCAAGCTGGGCAGCAAACCCTTTCGCTGCACCTACTTCTGTGTCATCAAAGATGGCGATTTGCTGAGTGCTCATGGACACATCTCATGGTCATGGATACATATTCTCTTGCTTGAACGTGTGGTTATATTTGGGGTTTAATGTCATTTCTGTTTTTCTTTTGAATATTTTAAAACACAGCTGTAATTGAAGCGCAAGGGGAAAACAGCGTCAGCTACCGCAACAATGCAAATCACGCTAAAAACACTGCAACAGCAGACCATTCAAATTGACATAGACCCTGATCAAACGGTAAGTGCTAATTTGTTCATAATAATGCCAGCTGTGTGCGTTTTATCTAGCCCGGTTAGCTAACTATCTTTTTTTGTTATTTGCACGACAGACCCCAGATTGGTCCCAGAGTGTTATCAATTCGGATAATACAACTAACATAGGCTAACGCTAGCTAGCTGTTATTGACAGCCCTAGCATTAGCTAACTAGCTAGTTATTAGTCTTAGCTTTCCAGCATGACATAGCTAAAGCAAGCTAACTTGCAAGCTAATGTGTGTGTGTCAATTTGCTAATCCAATGTTTAGTCTCATTATTAGCTAGCTAGGTAAGTTATTCTCCGCTAAAACATCAGCTAGCTACATGACTAGTTAACGTTAGTTATCCCAAATGTTAATGTCAGCTTTAGCTAACTATCTAGCATTACCTAGCTCGTTAGCTAACCAGCTATATAGCTATCTAGCTACGTTAGCTATTTTAGTTCATGAGGATGCAAGTCCAGTTGGATGATTAACTAGCAAGATTCTAGCAGACATTTACTAGCTAGGTCATTGTGACATTAGCTAGTTAGCTAGTTACATCATGTAAGGTAAACCTCAGTGGAAAAAGTTGGAAAATTCAAAAACTCAATGTTAGCCAGCAACTTTTGGAAGGGTTGTATTGTGTTTTACAATTAAAGCAAGGCTGAACAGCTAACTAGTTCCCACTCAAGTGTTTTGCCAACCCTGGTGAAAAGAAAAACCCCTTCTTTATGGTTTCAACAGGTGAAGGCACTGAAGGAGAAGATAGAAGCAGAGAGGGGAAAGGATAACTTCCCAGTGTCTGGACAAAAGCTCATATATGCTGGCAAAATCCTGCAAGATGACACACCTATTAAAGACTACAAAATTGACGAGAAGAATTTCGTTGTAGTTATGGTATCGAAGGTAAATTTCATTAATCCATTTCACTTGGACTCTAATAAGATGCACTCAAATTCTTTGGGGTTACATGATTGTCTGCATAGATGACATGGTGTCCAAACAGTAATAGCCTGTTTACAGTGGGGAAAAAAAGTATTTAGTCAGCCACCAATTGTGCAAGTTCTCCCACTTAAAAAGATGAGAAAGGCCTGTAATTTTCATTATAGGTACACGTCAACTATGACAGACAAAATGAGGAAAAAAAATCCAGAAAATCACATTGTAGGATTTTTAATGAATTTATTGGCATATGATGGTGGAAAATAAGTATTTGGCCAATAACAAAAGTTTCTCAATACTTTGTTATATAGCCTTTGTTGGCAATGACACAGGTCAAACGTTTTCTGTAAGTCTTCACAAGGTTTTCACACACTGTTGCTGGTATTTTGGCCCATTCCTCCATGCAGATCTCCTCTAGAGCAGTGATGTTTTGGGGCTGTCGCTGGGCAACACAGACTTTCAACTCCCTCCAAAGATTTTCTATGGGGTTGAGATCTGGAGACTGGCTAGGCCACTCCAGGACCTTGAAATGCTTCTTACGAAGCCACTCCTTCGTTGCCCGGGCGGTGTGTTTGGGATCATTGTCATGCTGAAAGACCCAGCCACGTTTCATCTTCAATGCCCTTGCTGATGGAAGGAGGGTTTCACTCAAAATCTCACGATACATGGCCCCATTCATTCTTTCCTTTACACGGATCAGTCGTCCTGGTCCCTTTGCAGAAAAACAGCCCCAAAGCATGATGTTTCCAACCCCATGCTTCACAGTAGGTATGGTGTTCTTTGGATGCAACTCAGCATTCTTTGTCCTCCAAACATGACGAGTTGAGTTTTTACCAAAAAGTTATATTTTGGTTTCATCTGACCATATGACATTCTCCCAATCCTCTTCTGGATCATCCAAATGCACTTCAGACGGGCCTGGACATGTACTGGCTTAAGCAGGGGGACACGTCTCGCACTGCAGGATTTGAGTCCCTGGCGGCGTAGTGTGTTACTGATGGTAGGCTTTGTTACTTTGGTCCCAGCTCTCTGCAGGTCATTCACTAGGTCCCCCCGTGTGGTTCTGGGATTTTTGCTCACCGTTCTTGTGATCATTTTGACCCCACGGGGTGAGATCTTGCGTGGAGCCCCAGATCGAGGGAGATTATCAGTGGTCTTGTATGTCTTCCATTTCCTAATAATTGCTCCCACAGTTGATTTCTTCAAACCAAGCTGCTTATCTATTGCAGATTCAGTCTTCCCAGCCTGGTGCAGGTCTACAATTTTGTTTTTGGTGTCCTTTGACAGCTCTTTGGTCTTGGCCATTGTGAAGTTTGGAGTGTGACTGTTTGAGGTTGTGGACAGGTGTCTTTTATACTGATAACAAGTTCAAACAGGTGCCATTAATACAGGTAACGAGTGGAGGACAGAGGAGCCTCTTAAAGAGGAAGTTACAGGTCTGTGAGAGCCAGAAATCTTGCTTGTTTGTAGGTGACCAAATACTTATTTTCCACCATAATTTGCAAATAAATTCATTAAAAATCCTACAATGGGATTTTTTTTCCTCAATTTGTCTGTCATAGTTGACGTGTACCTATGATGAAAATTACAGGCCTCTCTCATCTTTTTAAGTGGGAGAACTTGCACAATTGGTGGCTGACTAAATACTTTTTTTCCCCACTGTATATCTCTTCTGGATCTAGGCAAAGTCTGCCACAGCCACTTCAACACCTTCCTCAGAGGCACCCAAGGCCCCTGTCCAGGACTCTGGGTCCTCGTCGTCTGCGGGCCCGGCCCCTGCAGCCATCCCCATCCCCCCAGAGGAGACTACACCTACAGTCACAGAGCCCCCGGCTCCAGCTAGGTAGGCACAGAAGACAGCCGTAGAACTGATATTAACCTGTGATTTGGTAGACAGTCTGCCAAATTGGTCCTCTGTAGCTCAGCTGGTAGAGCACGGCGCTTGTAACGCCAAGGTAGTGGATTCGATCCCCGGGACCACCCATACACAAACATTTATGCACGCACGACTGTAAGTCGCTTTGGATAAAAGCGTCTGCTAAATGGCATATTATTTATATTTATTTTAAATTGGAGAGAGTAATAAAGTAAGCTTGAGGCCTGTTCAGGAGGGTAGAGCGTTACAGAACTCTAACATAGACACATTTTGTGTAGGACAAATATGATCTGAACATCATGCAACATTCATTACATTTCTATCTGCAACATTTCTTAGTTTTTTCATCTTACGGAATACACCCCCTGTAGTCCTCTGTAGCTCAGTTGGTAGAGCATGGTGTTTGCAACGCCAGGATAGTGGGTTCAATTCTCGGGACTACCCATACGTAAAATGTATGCACCCATGACTAAGTCGCATTGGATAAAAGCGTCTGCTAAATGGCATATTATTTGCGGCTACAAAATACTCCCTTTATAAAAACCACTGAATGTTTTGAATGAGTTTACTGGATGTTTGACCCTGTCGTTCTGTTTGCAGCTCAGACCCCAGTGTGGAGGTCCAGGGGGGAGATGCCTCCTCTGCCTTGGGTGAGTGATATACTTCGGCCTGGCTATGTGAATAATGTGTCAGTGTGGAATGTATCTGCTGTGTTGCTAGATTGATGATAGCATGTAGTATGGGCATGGGGATTTGTAAGATGTCTTCTAGCAGCTATGTCTTTATGGGTGTAAATATACTCCATTGTAACTTGGGTAGATAGTTAACAACTTGTTTCTTTTGGTCAGTGACCGGAGCGGAGTATGAGACCATGCTGACAGAGATCATGTCTATGGGTTATGAGAGGGAGCGCGTGGTAGCTGCTCTCCGGGCCAGCTTCAACAACCCACATCGGGCCGTGGAGTACCTCCTCACTGTGAGGACCGTCAACACACCACACCACTACTTAGGATACACGATACTGTGCAACCAGGCACCATGACTCAGCAAAATGACACTGACCATTAGCCCCCAAAAATACCATGAATGCACAATTACACTGTACAGCATGGCACCATATTTGATGAAACTGCAACATGGCAGCATGTACAATGACTCAGCAAAATTACACCAGCACTGTGCGACATCAGCTTTCAGCATACAGTTTAACACTGGTGTACTAAATTTTTACCAAAAACACTATTACAGCACAGTGACGCTATAAAATAGTTTTCTATGTACCCTCCGCTTAGAACCAGCCTGTCCGTTAGTGCTGTGTGGGTGAGTATGTGCTGCTGTGTGTTTCCAGAGCATTCCTAGCAGTCCGGTCCAAGAGACTAATCCCCCAGCACAGCTTCCTGCATCTGCCCGCCCAGTCACAGAGACCCCTACTGTAGCTGAGGGTGAGTCCATCTGCCTATATCTCTGCTATAGTATTACATGTACTGTACAGTGCATTTGTAAAAAAAAAAAAAAAAAAAAATAGTAAGATCCCTTGACTTTTTCCGCATTTTGTTACGTTACAGCCTTATTCTAAAATTGATAAAAATTGTTCCCCCCCCCCCCCCCCCAATCAATCAATCAACACACAATACCCCATAATGACAAAGCAAAAACAGGGTTTTAATAATAAAATAACTAAATAAACAATATCACATTTACATAAGTATTCTGACCCTTTACTCAGTACTTTGTTGAAGCACCTTTGGCAGACATGATGCTTGGCATTCAGGCCATAGAGTTTAATCTTGGTTTCATCAGACCAGAGAATCTTGTTTCTCATGGTCTGAGAGTTCTTTAGGTGCCTTTTGGCAAACTACAAGCGGGCTGTCATGTGCCTTTTACTGAGGTGTGGCTTCCGTCTGGCCACTCTACCATTCATGCCTGATTGGTGGAGTGCTGCAGAGATGGTTGTCCTTCTGGAAGGTTCTCCCATCTCCACAGAGGAACTCTGGAGCTCTGTCAGTGACCATCGGGTTCTTGGTCACCTCCCTGACCAAGGCCCTTCTCCCCCGATTGCTCAGTTTGACCGGGCGGCCAGCTCTAGGAAGAGTCTTGGTGGTTCCAAACTTCTTCCATTTAAGAATGATGGAGGCCACTGTGTTCTTGGGGACCTTCAATGCTGCAGAAATGTTTTGGTACCCTTCCTCAGATCTGTGCCTCGACACAATCCTGTCTCGGAGCTCTACGGACAATTCCTTCGACCTCATGGTTTGGTTTTTGCTCTGCCATGCACTGTCAACTGTGGGACCTTATATAGACAGGTGTGTGCCTTTCCAAATCATATCCAATCAATTGAATTTACCACAGGTGGACTCCAATCAAGTTGTAGAAACATCCCAAGGATGATCAATGGAAACAGGATGCACCTGAGCTCAATTTCGAGTCTCATTGCAAAGGATCTGAATACTTATGTACAAAAAATATATATTTCTGTTTTTAATTTTTTTATACATTTGGACAAAAAAATCTAAACCTGTTTTCGCTCTGTCATTATGGGGTATTGTGTGTAGATTGATGAGGAATAACATTTTATTGAATCCATTTTGAAATAAGGCTGTAACATGACAAAATGTGGAAAAAGTCAAGGAGTCTGAATACTTTCCGAATGCACTGTATATCAATGAGATTGTTTGAAAGATGGGAATGGTTTCTGTGCATTTCCCCTAGTAAGTGTTGTATCTATATCTACTGTATGTATCAACGTGTTCTCTTCTGTAAATATTCTGTGTGTGTTGCAGGAGAGAACCCTCTGGAGTTCCTGCGTTCCCAGCCTCAGTTCCAGAGCATGAGGCAGGTGATCCAGCAGAACCCCTCGCTGCTGCCAGCTCTGCTCCAACAGCTGGGCCGGGAGAACCCACAGCTCCTACAGGTAACACACACTGATGGCACCACCACTCATACTTGCTTGGGTAACACACTCCCTATAGTCACACCTCCCAGGTTTTGTGATTTCACAATGTATGTTCTGCCTGTTGCTGATCCCTATTGATAAAACTCAACAACAGCAAATCAGCCAGTACCAGGAGCTGTTCATCCAGATGCTGAATGAGCCGGCGGGGAGAGGTAGGAGACGTGCCTGAGGTGGGGGACCTGGGTGCTGCAGTGGAGGAGGGAGTCAACTACATCCAGGTCACTCCTCAGGAGAAGGAAGCCATCGAGAGGGTGAGGGGAGCTAAAGATCTCTCAATGCACTGTTTAGGGCAAAAGATGGCTTCAACTGACAAGAAGACTAACTGAGAAATGCATACGTTGTGACCTTTTCTAGTGAGAAATTGTAATGTTATGATTTTTTCTCTCCTGTCTCAGTTAAAAGCGTTGGGTTTCCCTGAGGCGCTGGTGATCCAGGCCTACTTTGCCTGTGAAAAGAATGAGAACCTAGCGGCCAACTTCCTCCTGAACCAGGGCTTTGAGGATGAATGAGAGGCGCTGGCCTGCCCTCCTCTCCAGCCCAGCACAAGGACTGCACCCCACTGTAGAGCAATGATCTTTGGGTCATTTCAGAGGAGGGAGGGAGGGAGGGAGAGAGAAAGGGGCAGGTTATGTGGTGGGGGTGGGGTCTTACAAGCTACACAAAGTATATGTTGATCTAAGGGTGAAAGAGGAGAAGTAATGAAAACCACTTGAATTCCAATGGAATGTGTGGGATTTTGCTTAGGGCAGATATATATTGAGATTTTAGAAGAGCTTTGGGAACAGGAGGGAGGGAGGGGGCTGAAGGGTTTGCGGAGTGTGTGCGTGTGTATATGTCTGTGTGTGTATACAGGTGGATGCCATTCAATTAAGGTGCAAAGTCATTTCTACAATGTTGGTGTATTGAGGGGAAAGGGAAACTAAACTGACGGTCATGAAGAGTCCGCTTGTGGTCTGTTCACTTGATTGCACCAGTCCCTCACATTTCCTATGCCATTCAAAAACCAACCACATAGCAAAACACATTTCTCATCCCATGATATTGTCAGACTGGCAAGTACATTTTGCCAGTGGCTAGGCCAAGTTATTTATGGGGTCCCCTCACTTCACCTCAAAGCTAGCGCTTTAGTTTTCACTCAGATAACCATGATCTCTCTGAGTGTAGAAACGCTCAACATCCCGAGTAAATCAAGAGGTCTAGAACAACCAAAATGACAAATGGATGTGTATGCTCACATAACCGTACAGGTACATTACTGTGTGGATATGTGTCTGATAACTAGTGTTACGTCTCTGAATCCTCTGAAGGGGGAGAGAGAGGTGGCAGGGACCAGTCCTGGGATGCTGGAGTTACTCTCACTGACCTCTTTCCCAAGGCTGGAGCAGACACACCATCACCTTTCTCATAGGATCTGATTAATAGTACACACGAAGGGCAGCTCAAATACAACAGGACCAGCTGATCTTGAGACACTAAGGTCTGGATTCAATCCATATCACGTAAAAATGTAAGGGTAATGTCCGGTTGAGCCGACATGCAGCATTTACCATGAATGCGGTCTCGGCGACCTCGGGAACATTGTCTATAAATTGTCAATTGCGCTATAAAGTGGATATTCAGCGTTACAGATTAAATAGAGCTCAAAATGTCCAGGAGGAACAAGGGTCCACATGAATGTTGTCCATATAAAGTCTTTATTAAACCAGGACCCAGTCATGGCCAATCATTGTCATCAGTGTCATCCACAGCCTGAATGAGCCTATTCAGACTATTCAACAGTCTTTAGTGATGAGGTGAATCTGAAGTTTAAACTGGCTATCACCTAGCTTTAACCACCTGTTTACAACTGAGACAGAAAACATGAGGCTGGGTTGATACATGCCTTATTACACTAAGGATTCTCAGTGTTTTGAGATGTTGCTATTGTGGGTTTTCTGAGGGAACGGAGGGTACCAAGAAATAAGTGTAGTTTTATGAATACCCACTTATCAAGGTATGTTATCTCTTTAACTTACATGGCAGGAGTTGAATGGTCTATGAAGAGACAATAGAGCTTTTATTGAACAGATACATTCAAATGTATTGTGTCCCTTTTCAAAACTGGTTGAATGGCTATTTTTACCCTTCAGGCACCTTCAACTTACCACAAGTAGGATCAATTACACTTTTTTTTAACTAGGCAAGTCAGTTAAGAACAAATTCTTATTTACAATGACGGCCTACACCGGCCAAACCCAGACCAATTGTGCGCCGCCCTATAGGACTCCCGATCATGTCCGGTTGTGATACAGCCTGGAATCGAACCAGGGGGTCTATAGTGACGCCTCAGGCACTGAGATGCAGTGCCTTAGACCGCTGCGCCACTCGGGAGCCCGAGAATCACTTGCTTCAAGCCAAATACATTTTTGGCTTTGAAGTGAAAAATCTCAATTTAAGTTTTGATTTATTTATTGGACCTGTGAAGTTGTAAATCAAACAAATACAGGTGAACAAAGTTTTTTCAATTTAAACTTATTTTAAAGGAATTGTGCAAGGGGGCCTAAAGGAATTGTGCAAGGGGGCCAATATATTTGACAGCATCTGTATTTGTGAACATTGCTTTCACTGACACTGGCATTTTACAGCATCAACATGATCAGCTTCATTAAACATCAGCAATATATCATGGCTACTTATTTTTTCTTGCAAGCTAAACACTCCCGTATGCACCACATTCTTGGTCTGGGCAATGAATGAGGCCAACTGAAATTAAACTCAACTTGATCTTATGGAATACGAAGTATTACAGGAAATTACACCTGTGGCTTGACCCTCCATTATCAGTATTGGTAAGTAGATTTTCTGATAAGCATCTTTACCACTATAAACAGTGAAACTATTTTTGCCTCTTACCCAACTCTATAACATGATGCAACTCTAGGGTTTTCATCCCCAGCACAGGCAAACCACCTACCCAATCAAACAAACAGCAATCTGAAAATAAGCAGACAGAAACAGGTGAGTTACAGTCAAGAACATCCTTTTATTCAAGTGTTGCACTTTTCAAACTGTTTTATTATTATGGAAAAGAAACTGTAATTAACACATGCATTTCACCATGGGCTCTGGGAGGCGTATTCCTGAGGGAGGGAAGCTGCACTGAGGGGCGCAGTGGGAGCTAGTGGGTGGGGGGGCAAGGCCAGCTGGGGGTTCACTCTACACAACACTAAACACGGCCCAATGCCCTACACACTTTAAAAACAAACAAACCCGAAGGAAAATAAAAAGACGGATGGCCAGGGCCAGGGAGAGACAGAGCTCTCTGGTGCTGCAGGGCAAGATAGGTAGGGACCAACATTCTGCCCAAGCAAAGCACACACTGTGCAACCTGTTTGTCACTATGGCTTCTCGACTGTGGCGCTTTACTTGTCAAGGCTAATACTGCTGCTGGCTTCAATCACTTAAAATAAAAACGTGCATGTTCTTGTAGGAGTCAAGTAGGACTTCTATCAAGCCTGCTCTTGATTTTGCAGGTGGAATTTCAAGGTGCTTTAACTGTCTACGCCATGTCGCATACAGTGTATAGAACCATATGACTTTCGTCTGTAATTTTTCTCACTGTTCATTTGGGGTTATAGTAAATGGGTGTAATGTGGCTGGGTTCTCTTGATTGTGAATCTGAGCCTGCCAGTCTACCTGGGCTGGAGCCATTCCGTTATAAGGTGCTTAGAGTCATTTCAGGTACTTTTTTCACTTGTTTTAATAGCTGGTCTCATACAACCACTAGAAAGGTGCATCATTAAAAGGTCTCAATGCAGCATCGCTGCATAAGATATGAAAATCCAAATTCAGTAAAAAAAATAAATAGATAAAAAGAGTTACAAACGAACCTGCCTATTCTACCCCAGTTGCCATGCAGCTCCCTTGCCCATTCAGAGGGAAATTCCTATGTGTATTTTATCCCCACGGTGTGATGTCATCAAATGCATCCCAGTGAAAAACTAGGCTCCCTCACAGACCCTCACCTCGCCAACACCCCAAGAGCCCACTGGTGTAACTTGTTCACTTACATTAGCTGTTCAATGGAGAAGCTGAAGAGATCGGCATGGTATACAATGTGAAGCGTACAGACAAGAATAACATGTGAGCTAACTGCATTCTGCTCAGACAAAGTTTTGCTTTTTTTTTACCCCTCCATTCAGAGAAAAGGGGTTTGGGGAGGGATAAGGAGACTACAGACTACTCCAGTGTCCAAGAGAGACAGAAGACAAGATACAGGAAGAGAAGCAAGACAGATTTTTTTAGTTTTTTGCTTTTCTTAATTATTCAACAATAAAAATAACTAAATCACACCAATTTCCTTTAGTACTATATATACTGCTTTGAAAAGCTTGAAGAAGGAGAGGAAATAGAAGAAATATGAAGGAGGGGACTTTTTTGAGACGGGCACTCAGGATTACAAGATGGAGTCTGTGAACAAAAGGCACTTTTTAGGGACAACCTTTAAGATGCTCTGATTCTAACACTACATCACCAAACAAATATTTAGAAAAATTTACACTGCGGATTGGGAGTGGGTATGGAAGGGGGAAGGGTTCACTTCTTTGATTGAAACCTGCTCTCATCCTTTCTGTGCTCAAAATACACCTTATACTCCCTCACCTCTTGTTTGGGTTTGAGATAGGAGTCTACTAATCAACTAAACCTACCAAAATGTATTTCACATTACACCTCCCATCTCTCCAAACGCTATTAATCACTTTGTGGTTGAGCTAACACTTAGAAAAATGGATTCCATTTCTGATGCATCTCCCAAAATGGGGAAGATCTGATTACTTCGGTTGGTCAGTTTTAAACATGTCCACAGCTTAGAAAATTGCATTCAAGTTGGAATTCATCTGTTAAATAGGTCATGTTTTAGTCAGTTCTCTGGTGATACAGACATGGCCCAGATGTCCATTACGTCAGGCCTTTCCTCTAGTTCATCATCCCATTGTCAGGATAACCATCTAATCAAACGCTAAAGAACTGTTCTCTTCCTGCTATGGGATAAAGGTTGAAGAAAAATGCCTTTTGTCACAACCTTTTCATATAATGAACCCCTCCCCCATTGGTAAATACAAAATGAGAAATAGAATAATGCATGTTTCCTAAAATGTGCTTTATGGTAACACTTAATTTTGTTTATTACTATTTATGTATAATAGAGTTTTTGAATGTACTTTATTTCGTAAAAAGCACCAGTTTCATTTAGTGATATATATTTTTGTTTTGCTAAATTGTTCCTTCAGCCCTCCCAGATTTAGAAAACAAATCATTACAAATACCGTTTTTAAAGGAATAAGGAAGAAAAATAAAAACGAATTCTCAATTTACAAAGACTGGGATTTTTTTTTGTCTGCCCTGGTGTTTAGAGTCCCGGAGCATGTGGACTTAAAACAAAAAAATAGAGGGTTTAGCCTTTCTTTTCTCTTGACACCCTCAAACAATCTCTAACAGACAAACACAATGTATCTACCCAAGGCATTGCACATGGCTCAATCAACATACATACATTTTTTCAACAACAATACTTCCCAACCAAACAAGAAAGAATAACCGAAATCGAATCCGTTATTTTCCTTGACTACAATGTTACTTTATTGTTTGCTATATAAATCATGTATCTATAGTATTTGCCATGGACACTTTTTGCTATTAGATGTAGGTGTGGGTGTAGGGACGGGTACTTTTGCACTAATCAGCTGTTTAAGATGTATCAATTGACTGTGCCATGCTTCAAAAAATAACTAGACTGCCACAGAGCTTATTTTGCAAATAAAAAATGTATATATCTATAAATATATATGTGTGTATATATAAAGATGATTGCAATTATTCAGTGAGCTGTCACTGTTTTTCTCCCCAGACATAGCATTTCACCACCATTCACTATAGCTTATATGTGAGAAAAAGAACCTGAATTCATGTTTAACAAATTGCATAATGGGAATACAGAGGCACTTCCATAGATTAGAAAAGAAATCACCATAGCCATCATAATTCTTATTCAGCAGTGCTAGTTCTCTATCAAGCTGATGAGATAGTTGCCGTCTGGCAACATTGTTTCCCTGCAGTGAAGTACATGGCCAGGCAGTCCAGTTATTTTGTGAGGTTGGTGATTTGAGCTGATGTTCCTTAATAAAAAAATCACTTTCAAACTGAATCTTAGTAATGGTAGGAATTCAAATAAAAAGTGAATGATTAAAAACAAAAGGTTTCCTCAGAGATTGCCCTATGTTAAGACTTCCCTTTACAGTCAATCTGGCCTGGGCTGGGTGGTTGTGACTGCTACTTATACTGTAGGTTTGCATGTGATTGTGTGTGAGTTTGTCAAGTGGCGCTGTTCTAAGTGTGTTCATTTAATTTGTCCCTCTTGATTTGAAAAGGTTAAACTTTTGGCTGGTAAGGTATCTTTAGGGCAGTTTGATCTATAAGGGATAGGATGGGGAGCTGAGATCGTGTCAGGGAAAAGAGGCGACCATAACACCCTGCCAGACCATCTCAATATGGCCTCTGACCTCAACCCAGACTCTCCTTCCCAAACATGGGAACAAATATGTCACATCATCATTTTGCTCCGCAGCGTGGCTCTCTGCTCTTGGAACAGGGGCAGTCTGGGAGTGTAAACAAAAAGGGTAAACTTCAGGGAGATGGGAGGGAGGTGGACTCTGGGCCCTCAGCAACCTAATGTCACTGTTTCACTACATGGTACTGAACACTGACTGGATCACCCTTCCTGGCAATACCACTCGAAGTCTCGCTCCCACCCGCTGTATTTCTCAATAAGGTGCTGTCATTCAAACACAACATTTTAAAAAGCGGACAAATTCAGAGGGACAAGTCCAATAAGAGAAGAAACAATTCTGTGCAAAAGGGAATATTACTACTGTAACTATGTAGTTCTGGGTGTTAATGCATAGGCCTGTGTTTTAAAAAAAAAAGTATGTGGATGTGTGTTGGGTTCTGTGTCTACTACAAGGGGCTAAAAGAGTGTTCTGGAAACGTGTGCATAGCATGTGTTATAGACGTAATAACACCACTTGGGCCCGGTGTGTGTTTGTGTGTGTGTGTATATGTGTGTTGCAAATGGCATTCATCATTCAAATGAAAGTGGGTATACTTAGCACTTGATTATTGTCGCGGTTGTAGTTTTGCAAGAGTGAACTGGGCGATTGCATTTAGCTTTCCTTGGGTTTGGGTTCTTCTGCTGGGATGCTGGTTAGAATGGAGGCCTTGGTGTTGCTGAACTGTGGGCTGAGACTTCTCATATCATGGTTTTTCCTCTTTCACTAATAATAACAATACAATCATAGGTACGCCTGTTATCCCCCCATGCCATGTAGGTGTAATAGTGGACATGAGATTAGTGTTAATTCAGCTTGTAGTGCAACCTTTAGGATATGTTTTGGCATGGTTTCTGTTTTGTTAGTAGTGGGGCTGATTAGGTCAATGGTTATAAGACTGGGAAAGACTGGTCAATTGACAGTGTGTTGAGTGACAGGGAGACATCACAGTAGCATGGACTGCTACATATTTCACTGGAACCTAATGGGTTTGTTTTGTGGGTGATTTGACAGTGGGGAGCGTACCTCATTTAAATTATGGCGTGTCTTGTGCCTTCAAGAGAGTGATTTGATGTCCCTTCAATTTCAATCCCCACTCCTACATCTGTTTTTTTGTGTGAAACAGTGACTGTTGAACAGTCGATTTTCCCAGCCATTGCACAATGTGTCCTTGTTCCGAAGTAGAAGGTGACCTTTTTTCTCTTCAGGTTCCTCTTTTTGTGTTGCCGTGTTTTGATGGTTCGGTGGTTTTGAGAGATGACTTCTTGTCCTCTGCCTATCCCAAATCCTATGATCCTCCCGTCTTAAAAATGGGGGGTTCCCTCTGTTTAGGTAATTGGTTCCAGAGTTCCTCTACTAGTATCATGCTAAGATTTCCTGGGTTGCTTTACTTTTTATGTGAGACATAAGGATCGGAGGACAATTTCCTGTGGGTTATTTTTCTGTTTTCCATGTTTCAATTCCCGATTGTAAAGAAAGAATTCTAGTCGCTGGTTTGCAGACAGGTCATGTCAGAGGAACCAAGACTGTTAAATAGAAAAAAAGAGGATGTTGTTAAGTTCAGTATAAAATGTGTACCATTGAAATAAGTAAACACCAAGTTCCACAATTGACCACTAGAGGCCCCCACATATTCCATACGCTAACAATGGTCAACAGTTGTCTGCCCCTTTTCGTATTGAGGAAACATAATAATAATAATAATATGCTATTTAGCAGACACTTTTATCCAAAGCGACTTACAGTCATGCGTGCATACATTTATTTATTTTGTGTATGGGTGGTCCCGGGGATCGAACCCACTACCTTGGCGTTACAAGCGCCGTGCTCTACCAGCTGAGCTACAGAGGACCGCATGAGGAAATACTCCCAGCTATATTGACTGACTGTCCATGGCTGTACTGTACTGTACTGTACTATAGTGCTGTGGGAGTATGGTTTGGCTCTGCTGCTAATGGCTGTTGTTATTCCTGACTGGACTCAGAGTCCACAGGCAGCGGGGGGTGAGATGGCTGGCACTCCCTGTATTCAGATTGGGTTTCTCCCGCTCAGTGTGAAAAGAGAGCAGAAGTGGGTCGCCGGCCGGGATACGGCACCAGTCAACACAGGCCAACATTCTGGAAGTCGAGCCTTGGAAACTCTGGGCCTCTGGGGAGGTGCCGTTTGTTCTGTTTGACTCTAACAGGTCGCCTGAATACCCCCCACTCCTGCCTCTTGCCCTCCCTCCTCCCCCCTCTTGCCGCAGGCTCTGTCCCAGCAGCCTATGGACTTCTTAACTCTTCCCCTGTCAGTTACACTATCTCTCTCTCTCACTCTCTCTCTCGCTCTCTGTCTATCTCCCTCTAACACTCTCTCTGGAATCCTTGGCAGTAGTGACCACCCTCTTTTCTAACCCACCCCTTCCTCCCCCCAGCATCCCCTCTCAAGTTCAAGTGGCTATGACATCATGTCTGGTTGCTGCAGGCAACCAGACAGTCGGGACGTGACTTCTATGAGGAGGGCTGTGCTGAAACTCTCCCTCTCTTTCACTATTTTTCTCCCTCTCGCTCGTTCTCCTGTTTCCTCTCTCCTCTGGCCGTAGAATCCCCTTGCTGCCACCAGAGGACACTTGGAGACCACATATCTCTGCCCTGGGAGGGATAGATCTATACAGGCCCTGCAGTCACAGCAAACAGACTTTTCACAAGGCCTTTGCACATTATTAATGTGTTGATAGAGCATTATGCTAACAATGTCATTACTGAGCTACATATGCAACCAATTAAAACTCCCTATAAAATTTCATTTATCCAGTGTAAACTAAAACCATACTGTAAATACAATATACTCAATAGCACAGAGCACTGGAGGGCTACACAGGAAGTGTGTGTGTGTGCGTGTATGTGTATCTGAATAGTTCTGAGTTTGTTCAGAAAGAGAGGGTAAAGAAGGGCCAAAATAGCGTAGAGTTGGCACGGTGGTGTAAGGTGAGCCTCATGAGCGGGGTGGGTTAGTCAAACAGGGCATGTTACGAAGCTGGAGAGAGAGAGGCAAGACAAAAGTAAGAGTGAAGAAGAGGGGCAAAGTAAGAGTGAAGAAGAGGGGTGGTAGGAGGGAGAGAGAGAGTGAGCTGAGGAAGAGCATAGAGGGAGTGAAGCGAGGGAGTGTAGGGAGGGAGGGTGAGAGCAGCAGCAGGGGGCTTCAGATGGTTTCCATGTGGTGGGGAGGAGTGTGGAGCAGAGCTGGCTCGGGGCGGGTGTGGTTGGACACTAATGAGAAAAGTGCAGTGGGTAATGGAGGAGGCATATGAGCGAGAACCAGTGCGGTGGAGAGAGGGAGAGAGAGCCCGCTGCCTGAGGGGTAGGCTCCAGATGGGCCAAATAAACAGTGAGAGGGCAGTTTAACACACACGGTAAACCACACACACGGTAAACCATACACACAAAAACACACATTCACAACAAATCATGGGATGAGGAGAGGGGAGAGGAAATACACCAGTAAGATTTAGGGAGTAGTTAGGCAGTTTGGGAATAAGAAATATTTTGGCTTGTATCCATTCACCTAAGTAAGTTTCCTGAGTTGGGCCGATAATCTCAATGAAAACAGACAGGTTTCCTACACACAAAAAATACACGTACGCACACCACACATGAAAACACGCACGAAAGCACATACTCACACACCGTGGAGAGCAGCAGAAAGCGCTAATGTGCTAATGTAGTAGTTTGGTAGTGTTGGTACTAGTGCTGATGAGAGTGACCTGCTTTACAAGTAAGGCCTTGATTCAATCCATAGCGCTGAAGAGCTGTGCTACAGCGCGATAGAAATGTAAAGGCAATGTTCCCACGTTAGCGGAGACTGCAGTCATGGTAAACGCTGCATACATCGATTCAATCGGAATTACCTTTCACTTTCAATCGCGAACTTCACTTCAGCGATACAGATTGAATCGAGCCCTAAAGCTGTGTGCTAGGGGCTCACCTGTGTCTGCTGCGGGATGTTCAAAAAGTTGTTGTCCCGTGATCCGATGCTGACAAACCTGTTGGGAGCTGTGGCCCCTGACGTGGAGTAAGCTGCAGACAAAGACACAGAAAGAAGGGATGGTCAAACCATTTCAGCACAAACCACAGCCTGTGTTCAATAAAAAAAATTAACAGAGCATTGTACTTAAGTTTCATAACAATTTCAGAAAATACTGCTTTAAGCTCTCAAGCTGACATCACACATAGAATTGTTACTGTAAGTCCCCCTAAGCATCATAGAGTAGGGCTACTGAACTGAGCTGGACATCTCCAAACCATAACTCTGTTCCCATTGGGGTTAAAGGTTGAAGCAAATTTAGGGCAGTTTGAGGTCAATATGGACTCCAACACAAAGGTAGTTATTACAAACCCTTCTAACGTGAGGAATCTGATAGTGGAAAGTTACTGTAGTGTGTGTGTAGTGTGTGTAAGTCTGTATTATTTAGCAGCATGGAGTAGAACCCTTTCCACAAAGGACATGGAACCCAAAAGAGTTCTACCTGGAACCAAAAAGGGTTCTCCTATGGGGATAGCCGCAGAACCCTTTTGGAACCCTTTTATCTAAGATTGTATATGTCCTCATGTTTGAGAATCAGTAACATAGATAAAATACATAAAAGACTGAGACACTGATTGGGGGGGTTGAAAAAATTCATAAAACAAAACAAAAAATCGGAAATATAAAAAACAGAAGAATAAAATTTTAAAAAGTGCTCCGTCCAGTGCCCCTCCTGTCATAGGTGAGAAACATTCCCTTTTGGCAGACACTCCCCATAGCTAGACACACCCTTCTACTGGACACACCCCTTCAGTCTAAAACTGCACATACATAAGCAGAACTCCATATCTGACCTTCAAAGCAACAACACCACCAACTCAGTAAAAAAATTAATAAATCAATTCAACAAAAAAATCGAATATAACTCCAAATATTATTTTCATGTTTGGATATTTTTATGGGGAAATGGCAGAATAACTGGAGCATGATGTTTTGGAGTCCACATAAACTGCCCTAAATATGTGCCATTAGTAAAAAATATGTGATTTAGAGAGAGCAATTGACGAAAAGGAAATGGATCCAACTCTATTTCTATTTTAGACTACTTCCGATCTCAAATGACATCTCGGGGGCTGGCCACATGAGTTAAATAAAACATATAAACGGAGGAAAACCAGGATGTCACTCTGCTGCGTCAACATCTGTGAGCACAGAGGCACAGGGGTATGGAGAAAGGGGTAGTGTCATTCAAGGAAGGGCTCAGGATGGGCCTAATATAGAGCCCTGGAGGACACCACAGAAGGGTCATCAGAGGAGAATGGTGACAGGCTTCTGTCATAACTCTAGGGTCTGTATGATCCCAGACTGTGAAGGAGGTGAGAGGTGAACTGGCTGTTGGGGGGGAGGGCAGAGGATGGATGGCCAAGGCCCTAAGATACAGAGGAGGAGGGGCAGCTCCAGTAAAAAAAAATGTTTGGGGTGGTTTTGGTTTTGGTTCTGATTTGGTCTGTGGGGTCACTTACACGGAGATGTGGGCGAGGTCAGTCCGCCGTCGGGAGGCGTGCTGCTGGATTTAGAGTCGGACATGGGGAGGGGCACTGGGCGGGCCACTGGGGGAGGTGGAGGCAGCAAGAAGGAGCCCGGCATTTTGCTCTGGCCGCTCCCGTTTGGCTGCGGACAACACAAACAGGGTCAGGAGGGCGACATGTGACAACCCGCACACGGCATGACAGGACGCAGCTCCAGAGACCAGGTCAAAAAAATATCCATGATGGGTGGTGGGAGAGGTGGGGGTGTTGGAAACAACAGCCAAACGAATGATGTATGTGCATTGCGTCATTTATGGAGGTGTAAAAAATAATAATCACCACAAGGGTTGATAGGGGATTTGGAGCGGAGGGGAGTTCTGGGGTGGTCCGTGGTGAAGGGGTGAGTGGGAGGGGGGTGAGAGCACAATTGGTGGTGGGGTTTGTCCATAACATGGCAACAAATCAAAACATGGGAAAAATACTCTACTAAGAAAACACAACACCAACAACACGCGAAATAATCATTACAATAAAAACGGAAGACAAAACATGTATGCTCAATTGAAATGTGCTGTGATTGTAGGCTTTCGTGCTGATGATTACATAATCTGAGGGGGTGGGCGGAGCAAAAGAAAAAAGGGAACCTTAGGGTCTGGAAGAGCACAGGACAAAAAACAAGGAAAAAAGATTAAGTACAGAAAACCCTGGACCAACAGGAAATTGTCAATAGTAGTATTTTGCTTTCTCTCCTCACTGGTGCAACAGTTTGGCAATTGGCTGAAGTTAATTTTGTAAACTCAGATGGACTTTTTTTTCTTCACAAAGTCAACCCTGTTTCCTTACCTTGCAAACACAGTACATGTCTATAGAGTGTTAATAATCACCACTTCATTTAGTCATGCTTGTGTCATTTGTATGGCCACACATTAGATGTTCGTGAATTCTATTCTTACTGCCTTCATTGGTCTTTTGTTGTGCCCATGTGTGATTACATTAGTGTACAAGTGGTTGGTATCACTCAGCCACTGAACTCTCCTCTTACATCAAACCTTACCTGGCCTCCAGACTGTCCCGAGCCATCAGCGCAGACAAACTGCACAAATTCCTTCAGGGGGTCCTGTCCAGGATGGTGGTGGTAGCGGATGGTGGGGTGGGTGAAGTACGGGCTGGACTGCTGGATGATGGAGGGGGAGGGGAAGTGCAGGGCAGAGGCTGAGGCACGGGGGCTCCCTGAGAAGAGACATACGTTAGTTAGATAGATGAAAGGAGGGAGAGTGAGTGAAAGAGAAATAGAGATAAACAGCGAGACATGCAGTTCAGCAGTGAGCACTTACAAGGGCTTTTAGTGTAACAGTCAACGGTGGCCACATCTTAAGACCCAGGGACAGGTACATTGAGTGACATCAGTCCAAATAAGAGTTTCATTTCATCAAATCATGATAGATTAAGGGTGAAAATGTATTACAAGAAAGAATGAGGCTTTACAGGAAATGCTTATTTCACTGTATGAACAGTATGGGCATTGGCCATAATATTTTATAAATCACTCCATTAAATCTGTACTGTTTTCATGAGGCAACTCCACACATTCCACACACCCATACACATAAACAAGCACACAAACACAATGGTCTACATTACAAAAGCAGTCCCCAAACCACACAAAAAAGAAAAAGCACAAACAGATTATTGAGCACTGTCTTAAATTAGAACGTCTTAATGCCTGTGCGTCTGTGTGCTGTTTTGTGGGTGTGATTCACAGGCGCCACAACAATTTGGCATTCAAATAGGCAAGCTGCTTTCCAACGATCCTCTATGACAAGACTAATCTTTACGTTCACACTGTACGTGTGAGTTTATGTGCATGTGTTAGTGGTCTACACTTGCATGATTTCTATTTGGTTGTGTGCAGGTGTGGGGGTTTAAATGTCTGGGTGTTGCTGCGTCTGTAAGGGAATACAAAAGCTCTCTTTTGTGCCTGCATGAGAGGGTGAGAAAGTATCTCGCTTTAAGTCACCCAGCCGAGCTGAATATGGAGACTGAGGTGTGAGCGAACGTTTGAATCGGACACAAAGCCCTCTCTGTCAGATGTATATCCATTACTAAATCTCCTTGATTTGTATTAGCGGGGCGCACCCCTCCCTCTTTCTTCTGGTGTGCCAGTCTACCCCCTTTAGTGTTGCCCCACCCAGCAGGGCCTCCAGCTGCCCACATGAGGCTGCCAACTCCAGTGTGTTACCCCCAGACAGGGCCCTGTGCCCCCCAGCCAAGCAGTACCTCGCTCCCTGCCAGGCTCCATGCTACCCCGGTGGAGCCGTCTCCCTGCTCCTTTAGTCCCCCTTAATCCCATTAGAGACTGGGCTAGGGCCAATATCTCTGGGGGGCGGGGGGGGGGGGGGGGACCACTATACCCCAAACCCCCCCACCCCCATACCCCCTGGATCTACCACACAAAACAACAACAACAACAACAACAATGCAGTAAACACTTTCACACAGGCATGGGAATGACATACATAACTAGTTTGTTGAAGAGACAAAATACAGTGCTCCATTCAGTTGAGTATTGTCAAGGGAGCGTTGCCGAACTGCTCCAGAGGCAGAGTACACTCTTCGGAAAAAAGGTGCTATCTAGAACCTAAAAGGGTTCTTCGGCTGTCCCCATAGGATAAACCTTTGAAGAACCCTTTTGGGTTCCATGTAGGACCCTTTCCACAGAGGGTTCTACGTGGAACCAAAAAGGGTTCTCTCTGGAACCAAAAAGGGTTATCCTATGGGTACAGCTGAAGAACCCTTTTGGAACCCTTTTTTCTAAGAGTGTAGGAGGCAATCTCAGCATCTCTGAGGTAGATGTCATTCCACGGTGGTCAACCTCACTGCTTCTGATCAATTTAGGAACTTTTAGCTTTGAGTTGGGAGTTCAGATGAGTTGAGATGCTCATCATCTATGGTGAACTGTTCACAGAAACCCTTCACAATGACTTGCTTCAGAACTGCTGGTTTATAGTGATGATACGATTGAGAATGCAAATGTCCCAGTTACAGCCCTGTGGCAACTGTTGATATCTGATTTTATCATGAGATCCTTGTCTACGCCCCCAGGGGGTTGAAATAACCACTGGCTCACACAATGACTCTGTTCCACTGCCAGACACAATAACAGTAAGCTCTTCACACACTCCCTAGGTTCCCCTACCATAGGCGTCTCAGTCAGAGAGAGAGAGAGAGAGAGAGAGAAGAAAGAGAGGAGAAGAGAGAGATAGATTATTATAATAATTGTTGGTGAACAGCATAAGTATAAAGCATTTTAAGGGAAGATTTCAAGACATTATCAGCCGTGAGCCAGGAGAAATACTCAGTACAAGAACAAATGTCTGTTCTAAAAATACAGTACTCATGAGAATGTAGGGCTGTACACCAAGTTTCAGGCTCTGTATAATAACGTTCTGAAGCCAATAAACCATGTGCCCTTCAAGAACTAACTACATGTGCCGGTTTAAAGACCATAGTCATGGGTCGGGGCAGTGTGGCTCGGGGAGGTGGTGATCAGGGAAGGTGGTGATCAGAGAAATGGAGGTATAGAATGGAGGCTCTTCACCCAGTCACCCAAGCACTCAACCACAGACTGACAGAGACTGATCTCTTTACAGGGAATAGGAAGGAACAACTGTATGTTATACTCTAGCTTATATTCTGTGCCTCAGGCTTCTTTAAAAAACATAGCTCTACTACCGTTGTCCCTCACAGGGTGGGACAGCAGAGCCTTCCCCTATGGACACCACTCACTGCCACCCCTCCACTGGGTCTGGGTCAGGGGATGGGGGATGGGCAGGGGGGTTGGGGGGGCTGTCAGGGGGGTCTCACCTGGTCTCACTCCCGCCAGCATTGGCAGCGGGTGGTGGGTGAACGCCATGCGAGGCGACCTCGTCTGCTGCGACAGGGCGCTGAAATCGAATTTCCCCGGCTTCTTAAGAGAACCAGGCGAGGAGAGTCCTGGCAAAAATGGGATCAACAAAATGGCAGAACAGAGACGTGGGTTTAATGAACAGGCTGGTGGCTATTTGCTCTATCAAATCAATTTAACTGTAGACTTAAATTTAGACTTAAGATTTATACTTAGACTTATTTTTAGAATCTTTGATGGATTTTATAATTGTGATCTACTGAAATCAATGGATCGATTGATTACACTGATGGATCAACCTCTCTCTCTCCATATCTCTGTTTGTGTACGGTCTCTGTGCTGTAGCATGTCTATCAGACCCAGGGTAGAGTAAAGTGGGGGTCCAGGGGGAGGGAGTTGTTTTGAAGCAGCGCAGGGTGGAGTGGGGGGTGAGGAGGAAGGTGATGGGGGTGAGGAGGGGGTCCGGGGGGCTTGGGGCACAGTGTCAGAGGGGAGGGAGAGCTGGGAAATGCAATGGCATTATAATTGCTGCCACCATTGGAGAATATGAGCGACAGACATGATTCTGATCACTGGTATTCTACTGTGCCTCGCTATGGGAACTGGTCCTCTGCGTGGAGTCCATGAGCAAGCTTCCAATTCCCAACCTCGCCATTGGTAGTGCTGGTCTCAGGGTATAGGAGGACAATGAAAATCAAATAAAAAACCACAACATCCCACCACCAATCCCACACCAGCAGTGATCTCAGCACCCAGCATCCCTATAGACAGCAGGACCTCCAGCTGTATGACAACACTGTGAATACATCCTCCCTCCCACACACCCTACAGCCTGCACTTGTTAACATGCCTGTTGACAAGGAGTGTGATTTTGGACTGCTTCAAAACTAGGCCAGAATGTGTGTAGCTATATTCAGATATACTGTAGCTGCAGCCTGCCAACAGATATATCAATATGTCCTTTAATTTACTGGCCTACTGCTTGTAAGTCATTCTGTCAGTTGTATGTAACTCTGGGCTGGTGGGAGGGAGGCTCGGCTGCATTGTGTTAATGCATCTCCCTCAGATATGGTAGATACAGAACACACACACACACACAAGCTGTTCAGTCAGGGTGGCAAGCAGACGGCCCAACGCCAATGAAGGATGGATGGAAAAGGGGAGAGAGAGTGAGAGAAAGTAAGGGAGTGGAAGAGTGACGGCATAGCCTGCACATATATTTAACAACATATCAATGTGTCCTCCTACTTCTATAAATGTCAGTTGAGGCTTCAGGACTCTATGAACTATTCCCCAGTTTGGTAAAAACAGGCACACTAAGTATAGGCCAGCCTTACCAACTGGCCCAGAAACATGGCCAAGTGTGTAAGAGCTACAGAGTAAAGAGACTGTTTTATGATCAAGGCCTCATGAGGCAGGGTTTGAGGGAAATTATTTTTATGTATGGTAATCGGAACAGGCAATTTAGAATTTTAGGGTTTGTGACCATTGCCAAGTGGTGTGTTTGACCTCAGGGAGCCACAATATCTAAAGAATGAAATTAAGTCTTGGAGAGAATAATTATAAAAATAAAAATACTTTTGCACTCAAACACACACATGCATGTCCTGAGTCACAAACATATACTGCAGTTTGTGACATTATGTGCATACATACTCATACACACACACACAAAATTATATTTAACAAATTCACAAACAGAAAAACAACCCTGACTAGCAAGAAGTCCCATAAACGACTAAACGACACATATTCACTCAAATAAAACAAACACATCAAATAAAAGGGGGATCATTTCAGTACGGCCCTGGGAGAAGCTGAAATAGCTTTTACAAGCTGAGCATATAAACTCTAACGGGGCAGCCGTTCAGAAAGACGTTTTTGAAGTGTTACTTCGGGAAACAACAATTACCCATAATGCTTCTGACTGCAGCGTTGCAGCTGGGCCTGCATGGGCATTGCTCAGTATAGAAATGGGTAGGCGGGCACGTATGTTCTGCTAGGCAGGAATGTGTGACACCAAGTGGGAGTGGGGAGTGTGATGATCCATTTGGTGGCATGGTATTAATGATGATAAAAACACAGCATGGCACTCTGGTACGCTCCATTAACACTTTTTACTTGAAGAGGATTGGAACATTAAAATAGAAATGTGCCTCACCCAGTGAACCCCTACTGGCTATATGAGACAAATGTTCAGGGTGGACATACAGAATATAACCACCAAGGCTAAAGAGGGATTGGGCACTCTGTGATAGGTTTTGTGTGTGTGTGTGTGTGTCTGTGTGTGTGTCTGTGCGTGTGTGTGTGTGTCTGTGTGTCTGTATGTTTGCTTGCGCCCGTTTGTATGCGTGAGCGAGTGCGGTCGATTGTTCTGCGTTAATTCTCTGTCCAACTCCTGGCACATGGCTTTGGCAGACTGGCAGCCAATCAACTGCTCCCATGACCCTCCAGTCTCGCCACGCTAACAAGCTGGCTGCCACACAAACCCCTAACTGTCAGAGGACCATGCCCCCACCCCCCACCCTCCCCACAACCAGGAAGAAGAACACAGACATACAGACATATATACATAGCGCTCACTCTCATCAACACACATACACATAATCAAAAACACAATGTTCCCTACCACAATTATCTCCTCAGCAAGCTATCTCAGACCAATACGTTGACTACAGTACAGTGATGGGCTGAGCATGAAATTAAGTGAGAGAGGAGAGGGAAACAACCAATGAAAATGCATAGAGGCGTATCAATGTCCCCTCAGCAGGCACCGGAGACAGCAGAGCAGGAGACAGCAAAAGTAATGATGAATTACATGATCACCTCATATGCCTCAGAGCCTTCCATTCAGGTAGTGAATCACCTTTGGAGGGGAGCTGAGGCCCTCTCCCCATCCTCCTCCTCCCCCTACACCACCAACACCACCACCATCACCAGAACAGATGTCTGCTGTAACCCAGTAGCTCCCATTGCTGTAGACACATGGAGGCACCATCTGGACCGGAACGCTGCTACTCTCCAGATTGGGAGTGTGTGTGTGTGTATGTGTGTGTGTTTGCACACGTTTGTGTGTGTATGTGGAATATTTTAGAGACAGACGGTGCCTTGTGCCTTGACAGCACACCTGAGTGCATTTAGTCTTGTTTGTTTGTGTTGTATTCCTCTTCCTGTCCTGTCTGTTGGAGGCGGTGTCCTCTGTTGAGTGAGGCTATGACAGGTGGGAGGGCACAGAACAGCACCACCTCAATAACTGACTGGGTGAAGCATCTCACAGCAACTCAACAGGAGACAGGGCCTCATTCTCTAATCTCTACCCACTCTCACAGGGCTCTACCGCTACAACAAATTGGAGCACTGATGCATGTGTTGCTGACTAAATTACCAAATTACTGCAATTCAAAATTATTTTGCAATATCAATTAAATGAAATTAGAATTTTGAATGAGCGAATGCAAAAAGTGTGCAAAAAAAACATATAAATCAATTAAACATTGAAATCAATTAAACAAATTAACAATAGGTTACAGTTTCCTGGCAGCCTGAATCGGAAAAGATAAAAGCCTAATCAAGCCCTCCACCTTGAGCAAGTGGACACAGTGTTTGAGAGGTAGTAATAGACTTGGTGAAGCTACTGGGTTACCAAAAGGCTTTGGTGATTCCACAAACCACAACAGATATCTGGGAAAGAAACAAGAACAACCCAACAGCAGGGATGGAGAGAGGGATGGAGAGAGGGATGGAGAGAGGGATGGAGAGAACACTCTCGCTAGGAAGTGTGGAAAAATAGACAAGCAGAGAGACAGAGAGAGGCATACAGTACAAGTTGAGGGTGGCATGAGTTAAGGTACAGTATAGATTATAATACGTATATACAAGTGCAATGTTTTCTAACCATGGTAAGGAAACTGCACGCCATCGTTTTCATGCTTTATCTTCCTCTCTTGCACACTGGCCAAATGGTGCTGCACTGGAAGTCCAAACAGGAGAGAAGGGCACAGTTAACAATGGAGGAGGGGGAATTAGCAGTGTGGAACGTTAACCACAATCCACTCAGTTGAAGACATGAGAGCTAAGTACAGTATGACTGACATGTAATGAAATAAGAACAGTGGCACAATTATAACTATTATGTTGTTATAATGTGTTTGTAAATGAACGGTGTTCATATAGAGGCCACATTAAATCAGACACATTTTACAAATACATTCACTGCTCTCCCTCCACTTTTCCCATAGGCCACCAATAGAATAGGAGGCTTCTGTGAGGGCTGGGGGTGGAAAGGGATGCATAAATGAATGTAATCAATAGGGAACATGACATCAATTCATGAACATGATCTATTATAGAATTGAATTGATAATTGAGAGACGATATTAACTATACTATAGGGAACATTAATCAGGTTGAATATGAGGTGAGAGATACAGGTACATGGGAGGGAGTGGTGATGCTGTGCTGTAATGCTGAACACACAACACATAGGCGTTGGAGGGTAAAACCATAAGGGGACAATGAGGTTTTGAGAGTCTATGGGAGTCTGTGTAGAGTCACAAAATACGCCGAAAGCTATCCAGATTATATCTTTAATGCAAAGCTTTTCATAGAGGCTTAAATCAAGTCTGTCAGCAGGCTCTGTGACTCACATACAGTGCATTCGGAAAGTATTCAGACCCTTTATTTTTTCCACATTTTGTTACATTACAGCCTTATTCTAAAATGGATTAAATAACAATTTTCCTCATCAATCTACACACAATACCCCATAAACACAAAGCGAAAACAGATTTTTTTGAAATTTTAGCAAATTTATTCAAAATAAAAACAGAACTATTCAGACCTTTGCTATGAGACTCGCAATTGAGCTCAGGTTTCCATTGATCATCCTTGAGATCTTTCTACAACTTGATTGGAGTCCACCTGTGGTAAATTCAATTGATTGGACATGATTTGGAAAGGCACACCTGTCTATATAAGGTCCCACAGGTGACAGTGGAAGTCAGAGCAAAAACCAAGCCATGAGGTCAAAGGAAATGTCCGTAGAGCTCCGAGACAGGATTGTGTCGAGGCACCGATCTGGGGAAGGGTACAAAAAAATTCTGCAGCATTGAATGTCCCCAAGAACACAGTGGCCTCCATCATTCTTAAATGGAAGAAGTTTGGAACTCACAGACTTCAGAGCTGGCTCCCGCGCCAAACTGAGCAATCAGGGAGAGAAGGGCTTGTCAGGTAGTGAACAAGAACCCGATGCGTCACTCGATAAGCTCCAGAGTTCTTGTGGAGATTGGAGAACTTCCAAGAGGACAAACCATATCTTGCAGCACTCCACCAATCAGGCCTTTATGATAGAGTGGCCAGACGGAAGCCACTTCTCAGTAAAAGGCACATGACAGAGTTTGCCAAAAGGCACCTAAAGGACTCTCAGACCATGAGAAACAAGATTCTCTGGTCTGATGAAACCAAGATTGCTCTTTGGCCTGAATGCCATGCGTCACGTCTGGAAGAAACCAGGAACCGCTCATCACCTGGCGAATACCGTCCCTACGGTGAAGCATGGTAGTGGCAGCATCATGCTGTGAGGATGTTTTTCAGCGGCAGGGACTGGGAGACTAGTCAGGATCGAGGGAAAGATAAACGGTGCAAAGTACAGATCCTTGATGAAAACCTGCTCCAGAGTGCTCAGGACCTCAAACCGGGGCGAAGGTTCACCTTCCAACAGGACAACGACCCTAAGCACACAGCCAGGACAACGCAGGCGTGGCTTGGGGACAAGTCTCTGAATGTCCTTGAGTGGCCCAGCCAGAGCCCGGACTTGAACCCAATCGAACATCTCTGGAGAGACCTGAAAATAGCTGTGCAGCGACGCTCCCCATCCAACCTGACAGAGCTTGAGAGGATCTGCAGAGAAGAATGGGAGAAACTCCCCAAATACAGGTGTGCCAAGCTTGTAGCGTCATACCCAAGAAGACACGAGGCTGTTATTGCTGCCAAAGCTGCTTCAACAAAGTACTGAGTAAAGGGTCTGAATATTTATAAATGTAAAAAAATGTCTAAAAACCTATTTTTGCTTTGTCATTATGGGGTATTGTGTGTAGATTGATGAGATAAAAAATGTTTTACTCCATTTTAGAATAAGGCTGTAACGTAACAAAATGTGGAAAAAGTCAAGGGGTCTGAATACTTTCCGAATGCACAGTATCACATCACACACGCATCACCCAGTCAAAGAACCTCTAACAACAGAACGTGACGTCCACTGGAGGCCTTTTGCTTCTTGCTAGGCCATCATTGTAAATAACAATTTGTTCTTAATTGACTTGCCTGGTTAAATAAGTTAATTAAAATTAATAAATACAATCTAGGAGCCTGAATCTAATACTTTTTTCACTGAGCACAGAGCCGAGCAGCAGGCACACGCACTAGCATACTACTACTGCAGAGCGCACTGAAAGTATTTAGAAAATGTGTAAACACAGGCCTACTGAATAATCAGTTATTGTAATCCCTACTCTCCCCTTTAGACTGCAGTATGAGTTCAGGCTTATAATAATAATAATATGCCATTTAGCAGACGCTTTATCCAAAGCGACTTACGGTCATGCGTGCATAATTTTTTTTTTGTGTGTGTATGGGTGGTCCCGGGGATCGAACCCACTACCTTGGCGTTACAAGCGCCATGCTCTACCAGCTGAGCTACAGAGGACCACAGGCTTGGCATGCAGATTCTCCTCTAGGGGTCTGGTCAGGTAAGGGAGGTGACAGTGCAGAGCTACAGAGCAGGTGGATGGGAGGAGGAGGAGAGGGAGGGAAGGAGAGGAGTGAGGGTAGAGGGAGGAAAACAGGTCCGACAGACAGTAGGGGGATACAGTCCCAGAAAGCACAGCAGGGGGTGTGAGATGGGGGGGGGGTTATGGGGGTATCTAACCTGCGTCCACATCGTTGGGCCAGCCACTGGACTGGGAGCTGCTGCCGGCCGCAGGGGAGCGGCCCGAGTAGAAGACATCGTCCACCGGGCTCTCCATCTCACTGTCATCAATGGACTTGCGCTTGTTGGAGCTGGAGAGAGGGGGAGAGAAAGGGACTTAATGTGTGTGGAGGCAGGAATATTGTTTACTTGGGAGACAAAGTACAGGAGCTGAGAGACAGATAAGTACGGCTAGTGGCTTTACTCAACATGCTTTATCTGAACATGGCCATGTTTGATACAGTCCCTCAGATTAGATAGTGTACCTAGACCAGGGGTAGGCAACCCTGGTCCTGGAGTGCTGCAGGCACTTTATGTTTTTGATTTAACCAACATGTAAGACCAGGTGTGTTGAATTTAGTAAATCATTGAATTAATCAATTAGCTAAGTTGGTCAGGTGTGGTGCCTAGTTGGAACAAAATCCTGCAGTACCTGTGGCACTCCAGGAACAGGGTTGCCTACCCCTGGCCTAGACGAAAGTATTGTAGAGAGTAAGTGTGTGTACAGTGAGTGAGAGTGTTCCTTGGATTCAAGTCCATACGAGACCTGTAAAAACATGGGTCCTTAAATGCACAATGTTTCATAAGTGGATCCAAATAAAGAATTGTATGTGTGTCTGGCTGTCCGTCTGGCTGAGTCTGAATGTGTCTATATTAAAGTAGTGTCAGGGGAAATATAGTGGAGTGAATATAACTACCTCCGTGGGAGACTTGCATAAAGCTCCATTTCAGTCCTACAGCGTGAGAGAGAGAGAAACAGTGAGAGAGAGAGATAGAAGAAGAGAGATAGAAGGAGAGAGGAGATAGAAGGAGAGAGAGAGTGAGTGAATGAAGAAAGGGAAAAAAGAGACAGAAAAAACACAAACAGACAGTTTGACGGATAGATGGAAAAAACAACAGACGAAGAAAGTTTTACAGAGGAGAGAGAGGGCAAGGAGAAGAAGAAAGGTCCCATCACCCAATCAGAGTGAGGAAAGCATTCACAAAGGTTAGACAGCATAGACTGAAGCGTACAGAAGCTAGTATTAGTAGGCTACAAACAATCTGGTAATGTGTGTGTGTGTGTACCTGGTGGAGGGGGTGGAGGTGATGGAGCGACGTCCCAGGGCCACCTGGTTGATGTTGTAGTAGCCAGGACTCTCCAGGTCGGCCAGGGAGAAGTTGGGGCCGGACGCTGTGGCCACTGGAGCTGAGGGACACACACAGATACACACAACTCTTACACAACTCACGGAAACTAAGGTTCTTTAAACAGAGAGTATAGTAGGAAAATGCATGTGAGAACCTTGAGGTTTGTGTGTACTGGTGAGTGTGTAGTGAGAGTGGCAGTGAGAGTAACAGAGAGGAGAGGCAGTGACTCACTCTGTGACACTCGGACCAGCTCGGCCACGTTCCAGACCCCTGAAGTCACAAAGCAGTCCTGGAAACTCAAGTGCCCTGGAAAGACAGAGACGAGAGAGATGAGGATGATGAGAAGACACTAGGACACACACACACACACACACACACACACACACACACACACACACACACACACACACACACACCGCTCACACAGAGGGAGCTGAAAAACCCAGGCATAGAAAAACCAGATAAACCAAAGTGGAAGGCACTAGCATGTGTTTTCTATAAGATAGGAAATGGCTTTGGTTGGACGTATCACGCACTTATCAAAAGCCCTATGGACAGGTACTCACGTCATGACTGCTTCAAGTCAAGCCTGTCAAAATGCAGTCCAGCAGGAGGCCATAATGTGCTCCATAGATTATGCCCTGTAGAAGTTGTTATACAGTATGTTCCCCTGTATACACACACACTGTTTACATGGTGTCCAGTGTGCCAGAGCTACTTGCAACGTGTATGATGTCATTACTGCTATAGATTTTGGATTGTATTTGTGTATTTAAGCTTTCCAAGGGCTCTAGTGTATATTGTGTGTACAGGTCCTGGCAGTGGGCTGTGTATAGAGTGACCAAGGCTCTCTATCTAAGGCAATAGTGTAGTGTTTCTTCATCCTACTCCTGGGGACCAAAAGGGGGGCACATTTTGACCTAGCACTACACACCTGATTCCACTAACCAACTCATCATCAAACCTTTGGTTAGTGGAATCAGGTGTGTAGTGCTAGGGCTAAATGTGCCCCCCTTTGGGTCCCCAGGAGTAGGATTAAGAAACACTACTGTAGTGTGTAGTGTAGTCTATAGGTCCCTGGCCAGGTGTATAGGAATGTGTACACTCTTAGAAAAAAAGGTTCCAAAAAGGTTATTCGGCTGTCCCCATAGGACAGGTAGAACCCTTTTTAGTTCCATGTACAGTAGAACCCTCTGTAGAAAGGGTTCTACCTGGAACCAAAAGGGTTCTACCTGCAACCAAAAAGTGTTCTTCAAAGGTTTATCCTAGCACCTTTTCTTCTAAGAGTGTAGGACGTCCAGGTTCTCCATGGGTGAGAGGTGCTCTTACTCCACACCCTCTCCTCTCCTCAGCCTGCCTCAGCCTGGGTTAACCACAGCGGGGCCGGCTGTATGAGGTCAGAGCTCCAGTCGGCAGCACGGCCATGTGGTTCCCATCTTCCAATAACGTCAGGGTGATTTTTGAGAGGGGTGCCACACCCACAGCCAGGCCCAGCAACATCAGCTCACCTTACTATAATAAACCCAGGCCCAACTCCACTGGGATACACTATACACTCTATACTGGCCTGTGTGTGTGTGTGTTTGGGTGTGTGTGAAAGCATTTAAACATGCATCTGCATGTATAAATGACAGTGTGTATGTTCACACTGTGAACTCACCATTGGGTGGTGGCTTGATGTCTGTGTCTCCTTGCTGGTTTGAGCTGTCTGATTGTCCGGATTCTGTAGAAAAGAGAGCGAGAGAGAGAGAGAGAGAGAGAGAGAGAGAGAGAGAGAGAGAGAGAGAGAGAGAGAGAGAGAGAGAGAGAGAGAGAGAGATGGTGGAGAAAGGTTAGGTTAGACAGGAGACAGATGCCTGGACGGTACCCAAGGTGAGGGGGCAGTGGGCGGACGACTGCATAGGAACACTTTGGAAAGTATTTTAAAACCCCTTCTTTCCAGAGGCAGAATTGGGTCTTAGATTAAAGTTTGGCTATTTCCACTCAGGTTGAACATTAGAGTCATGAAATGGCAAATCAAACACCAAATACTTTACTTTCCAGAGCCATTCACAGTAGGGGAATCACTACTAATACTCTCTCCAGAGAGCATCAAGTATCAAAGAGGAATGTTTGGTGTTCCAGTTTGAGAGATGAGATGACTGTGTGTTTGTGACACTTCTTGCCCCATTGTATCTCTGGCACTCCTTCCTTTTCTCTTTTTTCTCTCTCTCCCTTACTCCCCCCACTCTCTTCTTCACCATCCCTCTCTCTCAGGCCCAGGGAGCCACAGTGAACATACACACACACAAAGTTACACACACAGGGAGTTCTGTTTGAGAGCAGGCCGTTGGCACAGTGTGGCAGGTGAAGTTCCCATGTAACCCCAGCCTGCAGCCTCTCTCTCCCTCCACACTGATGACTAGTGTAAGCTGAGGAGTGTAAATGTGAAGCCCGGGTCCGCGAGGCGTCATTGGGACTGCGTCTCACTCGGCTCTTTACCTTAACGACTGTGCACAGAGAGGCCTGTGCTAGTTTGGTTTGGCCCCGCTTGGAGCCATTCCTTCTCTGCTGCGTAATGCAACCTTGTAGAGCTTTATGGTTGGATCATATATACCATTCAAGCCAATTACCCCCACAGCACTGTAGAGTTTAAGGCAGAGTGGGCCAAGTTCCCCATTACCCCCACTCCTAGGCCCCTCCCTCCCTCCGCTCCATCTAAGCCCCTCAGCATCCTAATCTTGGGGAGGCTAGTCCTGCGCAACGTGCCAGCAAACTGCCGCACCATTCACCCCACGGCCAAAGACGAGAAAAGCAAAACAAAAGGACAGAATCGCCATATCACTTTGGTCTAAAAGGAGTGTCTTTTTCCCTTTCCCTGAATGGAGTCTCAGTCCCTCTCTCTCTCTTTCGCTCTACTCTCTCTCTCTGCTTCCCCCTCACTCGCGCTGTCGCTCTGTGGAATCCTGGCAGCCATTTTAGCATTTGGCAGCCATCTTAGCTTTAGCGGTACCAATACATTCCTGCTAGTTGATGGCACACCCCCATGCGCTAGCACACACACTCTCACACAGACACACACAGATTCACTGGTATTAAAGATAAAATATCTACAGAGGACAAACACTGCAAATGGAGTGAAAATAAAACCACCAGGGTGTTTGTCTCTAGTCATTGACTGCCGTGCTGCTGGACCTCAGCAAGCTGCTAAATGAAAAGCTAGACTGGACGACTGCAGCAGAGCCGCACTGACAAATCATCAAGGAAAATAGGAGGAAACATAAGGAAAACATCCAGACAGAGACCATTAATAACTGTCAAGGCACATTCCTGTAAGAGGTAAATAAGGTGAACTAGAGTGCAAGCCAACATTTCAACTGTAGGATGGTGTATATGGGGATAATCTAAGTCTGTTGAGGCCCTTCATTTTGAAAATAATACAACCTAATTTGGGCATCCTCTCACTATGTAAAAACATCTTAATATGCAATTAAACTTGAACCTATATATTACGGACCTTCTTTTCTGACACAGTAAAAAAAAAGAGGCTGGGTCGTCATGGCAACATTGGGGATACCCCTCCATTCAGGTGGTTAATGAGAGGGTGAGCTGAGCTGAGCTGAGCTGAGCTGTCAGCAGTCACACTGACTCTGATAGAACCTGACAGCCCAGATCTGCCTCATTCATTCTCCTCACATACACACCAGCTGTGATCAATACAGCTCTACACCTGCTGGCCACCTGGGGACTACACACCCAATCAGACTGGGGCCAGGGGGTTTTCCTGACTACGTCAACTGGCCAGGAAAAACTCTGGATCCTTGCTATGGCCTATAGTTAAGATCCAGAGTTTTCCCTGTCAGGTCATGTGGTCAGGAAAAACTGGCCCTAAATCAGACCACTGTTAGATCACCAGTGTAATCTAACTGAGGCCCCCTGCTGGTCTGGTGGAGTGTTAACAGCTTCAGTTCAATTCTAATAGCTGCTGTCTACTGTAGCCTACGGTATATGAACCTCCAATCCTACTGCATGGAACATTAGCAGGGCTTGTTTCCTGGTGCTGGATCTGAGTGTGTTGGAGGGCCCAGGGCGCTGGAGAGGAACAAAGGGAGGATGATGAAGGGATGAACAGGGGATGAACAGGGGAGAGCTCATCAAACAGAGAGGATATGCTCTGAGACAATGGAGAGGGTGCCCATTATTAGTGCTGCTCTACAAGCCAACTGGGCTGTGGGGAGAATCACTGCCACCACGCCACCATCCCCAGGGTTACACACACACACACACACACACACACACACACACACACACACACACGCCAGCCCTACACTGCTCACCCTTATCTCCAGCACACAGTCGCCCCAAGGCCCCCTGCACACACCCTGGAGAGATAATGCATCACACACACTCTATTAAACAGACATACAGTACATACACATTAACAGACTCACTCCAATCACATTCATACACACTACGTACATTTGTCACTAAGTCTCCTCATCATACAGTACATATACACTAAGTGTACAAAACATTAGGAGAACCTGCTCTTTCCATGGCTTAGACTGACAAGGTGAATCCAGGTGAAAGCTATGATCCCTTACTGATGTAATCTATTAAATCCACTTCAATCAGTGTAGATGAATGGGAGGAGACAGGTTAAAGAAGGATATTTAAGCATTGACACATCCATTGTGTATGTGTGCCATTCAGAGGGTGAATGGGCAAGACAAAAGATTGAAGTGACTTTGAGCGGGGTATGACAGTAGGTGCCAGGCACACCGGTTTGAGTTTGTCAAGAACTGCAAAGCTGCTGGGTTTTTCACACTCAACAGTTTTCCATGTGTATCAAGAATGGTCGACCACCCAAAGGACATCCAGCCAACTTGACACAACTGTGGGATGCATTGGAGTCAACATGGGCCAGCATCATTGTGGAGAGCTTTCGACACCTTGTTCTGAGGGCAAAAGGGTGTGCAACTCAATATTAGGAAGGTGTTCCTAATGTTTTGTACACTCAGTGTACTGACACTCTGGCTACAACCCTCTACATACATTTAAAACACTATACCCCATAGACTGCGGCAAATTACTATTACTGAATGTAGGCCTACACACAGAAGTAGAATGAATAGAAAGGGCGTCACCATCAAGTCAATGATGACATATTGGGTGGACTAACGGCCATTGCAAGTGTACCCATAGGAGCAAAGCAGGAAATAAAAGCAGGAAGTGTACCCATCAATCTGTGCTGTGATTTGTTGAATCAGCTCAACTGACATTACAAAAAAGATATACCATTGCATGAGCCACATCAGTTAACATCATTTGAATTACCATTCTACATTACCATGGAAATTATTGCATCACAATACCAGCCAGCCATTGCGAGTGTACCCATGAGTTTACCAGTCAAATTGCCAGGGTTAGAGGGTTCCAGGACCATTCTATTCATTTCTATGGGCCTACATGCTTTCAGCCCGGACCCAGCATACAGTAGGTGTCATTATTCTACTAATCAAACACACCTGCGATTTGGATGCATCATAAAGACCCACCACAACAATATCTGATAAACACACTCTCACTGAGCTCACTGTGCCAGGTCTAATAGACTCATTTGCCATGCGCATATTCATAAATAAATGAGCTCGCACATACAAATAGGCACTTTTTGCCTATTTACCAGCCGGCTTAGAACATTTGTTTATGCATTACAAACAGCACGTTTTAATCTAATGTGCATTAACTGGAAGGGGATTTCACATAGCACAGTGAAGAATCAACATTGAGTCAAATGGCAGAGATAAAGCCAATGGTTCCACAGTCAAACTTGACGACAGGAGTGTGGATGGCCTCTCAGCAGGCTACTGTGCTCTTCACTTCTCCCTCTCTTCACTTCTATCTCTCTTCACCTCTCTCCCTTTCTCTCCCTCCACCCCTCCTTCTAAAGTACAGTAACAGTCCTGGATTCCATCTCTTTTTCTCTGTATTTATTTATTTTCTCTTCTCTCTGGTTTGTTTCTGACTGCTGTTACTGTCTCTGACTCAGATATTTCTGCTCTCTCTCTCTCTCTCTCTCTGTCTCTGTCGCTCTCACTCTGTCTCTCTCTGTCTCTCTCTGTCTCTGTCGCTCTGTCTCTGTCTCTCTCTGTCTCTGTCGCTCTCACTCTGTCTCTCTCTGTCTCTGTCTCTCTCTGTCTCTCTCTCTCTCTCTCTCTCTCTCTCTGTCTCTCTCTGTCTCTCTCTCTCTCCTCTCCTCTCTCTCTCTCTCTCCTCTCCTCTCTCTCTCTCTCTCTCTCTCCTCTCTCCTCCTCCTCCTCTCTCTCATCCTCTCTCCCTCTCTCCTCTCCCTCTCCATCCCTCCCTCCCTCCCTCCCTCCCTCCCTCCCTCCCTCCCTCCCTCTCTGGGAGGACAGTCCTGGATTAGACTCGGTTGACGCGGCTGCCCTCTGCGTCTGTCTGCCACACAGTGGCCCGGTTCAAATGAAAAAATTAACACACACACATGGATATTTATAGCCAGATGGAGGACAGGAAGTAGGTACACATACACACACACAACAGCTGACCAGATGTGGCTCACTGTCATTGTGTGTGTGTTGTGTGTGTGTGTGTGTGTGTGTGTGTGTGTGTGTGTGTGTGTGTGTGTGTGTGTGTGTGTGTGTGTGTGTGGTGACGGCTGGGAATGGCTGATGAATGGTTGGTGTGACATGGCACTGCACAGAGGAGGCATGCAAAGTATAAATATCAACAGTAACGTGCTACTGTCATATGCTGTTGTGAAGTGTAAAGCTAACATGCTAACTACAAGTACGTGCTACAATTAAGGCTGATAATGCTCTCTGTAACAGAGTGCAACAGTGAGCAACAAACTGCAGGCTACAGAACAGACGGCCATGAGTAAATCAGGATAGTACGTCTGAATCTAAACAATCAGCATGCTGGCAAACAGCAGTCTCTCTCTCTATCAACAACTCCTCATCTGAGGCCAGCTCGTGTGTGTGTGTGTGCTTTCCCTGTGGCCGAGGGCCATGCCTGCAGTCAGACTCTCCCACCCCGGGTGTTGTGTCATTTAAGGATAGAGCGCCACGGTTCAGTTCACAGTGAAATGATAGGGTCCTTTTCCTATGCCTGCGAGAGGCCTTTAGACAGACACACCACAGTTCCAATCTCTCCCTCTGTTTCTTTTTCTCTCTCTCTCCCTCTTTCTCCCTCTTTTCCCTCTCGCTCTATGAGCACCATCACACTGGGGTTTTTTCGCGTCCTGGCCCTAACCCTGTCATTGACGGTAAACTGTGTGGGTCGGTGTGGCTCCGTGCCGCATGTGGGAACCCAGCTGTGGTGGACTCATATATCTCAGGCCTGACACGAGAGGAGCAATCCGGCTGGAATTCCTCACACACACACATGCATGCATACACATACTGACAAACACAAATACACACACACACACACACACACACACACACACACACAGCTATGTCTTACTATACTTGTAAGGACTTTTTGGGGACCAACAATTGATTCCCATTCTAAATCCTATTTTCCCTAACCCCTAACCCTAAACCTAACCCTAACCCTAACACTAACCTTAACCTTAACACTAAACCTAACTCCTAACCCTAACCACTAACCGTAACTCTAACCCTGAACCTAAACCTAACTCCTAAGCCTAAAATAGCCTTTTTACTGGTGAGGACCGGCAAAATGTCCTCACTTCTCTGAATTTTTGTTGTTTACTATTCTTGTGAGGACTTCTGGTACAAAAAAGTATAGTAAAACATGTACACACACACACACTCCCTAAATCTGAACATCAAACACAGCTAGAATAGGTCAATAGCACAGTGGGAGTCTGGGTCGTTAGGTTTAGCTATGGCTCCCAGAGACCTAAACATCCCTGCTAGCCTGGTATGAACACACATCCTTAATCGCCATGTAAACACATACCTGTAGTAAGATTGTGTGTTTGAGCAGTACGTATGTTTACAGTATATTATCTATATGTTTGTTTAGCGTAAAAGATAGATGTGGAGTAAAGGTCTTTGACCAAATATGTATACATGCATGCTTGTATTTCATGTCGATATCCCAAAAATGTTGATATCCAGAAGCAATCCTTTTCACTTCATGATAGTGGGCGTGCACATGTGGTTTCAAGTGCATGGACGTACATAGGCTACACGTGTGTATGTGTGTGTGTACACAGTCTCGCCTCCCTGCGCAGCAGAATGGCAAAGCCCCCACAACCTCCCCATCCCCCAGTCATCCACCCCTCCACCCCCACCCCTGGATAAAGAGGCAGCACAGCACAGCCTCCCCAATTGGGTTTCGCTTAAGAGGTTTATCGGTATGTTGCTAAACATTCTGACCTTTTTTAAATCCTTAATGCGCTTAAAATGTTCCAACCCCTCCTAATCCCCCAGGCTATCCCACACAGATGTTCACTGAGCTCTTTTATTGGACTTTATTTTAAACATTTTTTTCCCACTTATTTATTCATTTCCTATCTTCTAAAACCATATATCATCGTCTGACCCTGTGCCAATGAGGAGCAGGTGTGGGGAGGCTGCCCTGTGTAGCCCGCTTGCCCATCTGTGTGCCCGTCTGTGTGCCGCCTGCGCCCACACCGTGCCAACACCACACAGAGCAGGGGGAGCCAGGGGGCCTAAGGGGACTCAACCATGGGAGAGTGCAGTGCAGAGGGGGGTGGTGAGGGTAGAGGAAAGGGGCTGGCGTCCTGCCCATGTATACCCCTCTCCCTATTCTCTCTCTCTCTGACACTTTCATCTTTTATCTGTCCCTCTGCTGATCAACCATGGTACACAGAGCAAGGCACATAGTGGGACAGTAATTCACAGAGCAGCATAGGCCTTTTAACTTGATTGATTGATGTATTGGTTTTAATTTGATAAGATAGATATACCTCTGTGCTGATTCAAATGATCCTGACTTTCTGAGATCCCCTTGTGTTTCCTTTTGAAATTTCACAGACTACTGTTACTATAAGGCTACTAAACATATGCTTTAACAAGTGTAATGACTGTGTTTGGCCACCAGATGTCACTTACTGGCAGTGGGCAGTGGGCACAGAACACATGCTAAAGAAATCTGCTAGGAGAGGTAAATATGTGACTGTCTTCGGTGAAACAGGAGCGATAGGGGGAGGAGAAACACACACAAACAGACCTATAGACAGTGTACAGAATCTACATGGACATACTGTATGAGTGTGTGACCCTGTGGAAAGTATTGAGAAGGGAAGCAGCAGGCCTATATGACAGACATAAGCCAGAGGAAGAGTGGTTTACAGGGAAGTGGTGTGTGTGGGCACAGCCTGTGTGTGGGTCTGCTAGTGGGAGTGAGGGTCATGTGAT